AAATTAGACGAGGCCTATAATTTCTTACTTAAATTAAAATTTAGTTTATATTATATTAAATTAAATTTAAATAGTTAAAAAATAATAATAATCTGACACGAGATTAAAAAATTATGAAAAGTCTTTTCCAAAAAGATTCTGATAGGAAAAAGAAGAGACTTTGACCGTACTCACACAGTTCTAAGCCAAAACGTCACCGTGACAAATGAATGACACGAAATCTGAGACCATCAAATTTATTGTAAGTGGCAGCCAATTTTGTGGCCAAATGAGTCAGAACGCTCAACTAAACCAAGACACATGCCAGAATTCGTTATTAGTGGGAACGAGTTTTTAGAGTCACATGAAATTTTGGTAATTTTACTATAAAATTTTTGAAGATCATAATTTTTTATTTGAATGTTTAACTCAGGTAATTTTTTTATTCTATTTAAATTTTTAAGATTTATGTGCTGATAATTTTTCAGAGTATTATTTGTTAGTATTGAAAAGTAAAAAAATAAAATAACATCATTTATAAAGATAAAATATATCAAACGAAGCACAAAAAAGTATTTTCTGGAGAAAAAAATTTGACCCGTGAATCTACCAGCGCATAGATCTTAAAAAGTTAAAAAGAATAAAAGAAAATATCTAATTCGAACATCTGATACAAACTGTTATGGAATATTTTCATATCCTAACCATCTACCCAATGATCCCTTAAAGGATAATTCTCCAATTCTTCTAACAATATAAAACAGTAAGACACAACTAAGGATAGAGTCCCTATTTCAACAGAAAGGAAGTTAAATCCTACTACAACAGGGAGATCTACACAAGTCCAAGAGTTATAAATAAGAGGTTAAAGACCTCAGGTATACGGTCTGAACTCATTTACTACTTCTGCCCACACCCAAGTCTCGGCTATAAGCCTATTGCTTGTCCGCAGTGATGGGGATATTGGCTATAAGCCAACTAAGATACCTATCCATAGGATATCTCTGAGCGCTTACCCTTGAGGTATCATTATACGGTTTAATAGAACCGAACACAAACGTTATGGCCTTATGAAGTTCTACGAAAAAATTTTAAAATTTTGTACCACGTGTCAACATCATGTGAGTTGGGATCCTTAAACTTGATGCCACATCGGATGACTTGTTTGACCACTAAACTCGATGTCAATAGCAATGATTTTGATGACCAGATTCCATGTCATGTGGCGAATGAAACCCAGTGCAACTGGAAGCAGATTTGATACCATGGCAGTTTGACAAAATTTTAAGAAACACGACATTGATGTAAATATTTTTTGGAGAAACATGACAACATGATCGAAGTTCCGAGAAAGAACTACAAAACTTTTGTTTTCGCGCATAACCAACTGCAGCCACTTTGGTTATATGATTCATTTATTTTGAAGATATATAGTAAAAGGGAAAAATGTTTTTAAAATTTACTTTAGGTAATCTTCTCCGTAGCACGCAATTTTAACTATATCTTACCAATAAGAGATAGTTATAATGAAAAAATTATTTTCTCTCCCCCACATCAGCCAGCAATGTATGAGAAGAGAGAAAGATTTTTTATTATTATTATAACTATGTCTTACTAGTAAGACATAGTTAAAGTCGTGCGTTGCAAATAATTTATTTAAAGTAGAGATGTTCATCAACCGATCCAAACCGATTCAAACTGCGGTGACCGAACCGAAAAATCGAAAAATCAAAAACCGAAAAAAAAACAATAAATTTTAATTGAATTTGATCAGTTTTCGGATTGGTTATCGATCCAATATTAATTCTCCTCTACCTACTTAGGTCTTTCCTTAATCATAGCCCAAAAATTTCTAAATCCAATATCCATTATCACATCAACTAAATTACTAAACCCAAAGAAAAGTCTAGTCACATCTCATCAACAAAATTTTATCTGTGTAGAGCTTCATATCTCATTGTTAAAAAAGAAGAAGCTATAAACCCAAAGAAAAGTCTAGTCACATCTCATCAACAAAATTTTATCTGTGTAGAGCTTCATATCTCATTGTTAAAAAAGAAGAAGCTATATTATCGTTTACTAATACTTTTATATTTCAATTTTTTTTTTACCAACTCAATATATACAAAAGATGTTATTTGCACAATAATCATAAAACAAATTTTAGAATTTTCAAAAAATCAAAAATCGATCTAATCTAAATTGAAAAAAATTGGATTGGATCATATTAGATTTGAAAAAAATCCAAACCGAATGGATGATTACATGATCAAACCAAAGGAATTAGATCACATGATTTTTGTTTCTAAAATTGATCCAATTTAGATCACAAATACCCCTAATCTAAAGTAGCTGTACAAAAAGTTAATCCATAGAAAAATTAGAAAAAAATTATTATTAGAAGTTGCCCTTGGGTAAGGGCGTTAGCAATTGAAATTCTTGCCACCCAAAACCACGTTGGTTTCCAGTCAATACCGTATAGCAATGAGGTTGTGATTTAACAAAAAGGTCAACGGTTTCGGCACGCTTCATAACAAAGCTTTGCTTTCAATCTCCAAAATATTACTGTTTTCTGACTCATTTCAAACATAGAGCATGTTAACATTATTGTTTTTCTAACAACTGGCTTACTGAATAAGATAATTCGCGGATTTTTTTTATACTATAAGATTAAGGGAATGTACTGCATTAAGATTTTAAAAGAATTTTTTGAAATAAATTTTTTTATAGATTTTAAAAGATCAATTCGTATTGAAAAGACTTTAAAGACTTTTTCAAAATATTTTTTTTTACAATCAAGATTTCATAACATTAGATTTTAAAGTATTTTAATATAATTTATCAGATTTTAAAGGACAATATGGACTCATAAGATTTTAAAAAATTATACAAATTTTTAAAAAAATTCAAAATTACAAGGGTTAACAAAAAAATAACATAGAAATGCAATGATATTAATAAAAAAAAGTAAAACTTAATATAATTTTCTCAATTAGTAAAATTCATGATAAAATTTCGTTTGGAATTTTTTTTAATTGATCTTGTAAACCTTGGAATTTTTATTCTATGTGATGATAGTTTTCTAACTATATATCATATGTCTGTTTTCATTGAGTATTCCAAGAAAATTTTGAATCTGAATTTCTGGGTTTTATTACATGAAAATTTAGAAAAATTTTCAAATTATTTTCAATTGATACATTGAAACCTTAAATTGCTTTTGGGCTTTTGAAAAACAAGCCTTAGTGATCTATTGATGTAAAAATTGTTTGAAATCGTTTCTTGTAGCGAATGAATTTCGTTCATGAATATATTGTTATGAAACATAGATATTATAAAAGTTTCAATCTTGCTTTAAATAGATCTTGTTTTGTTGATGTAAAACAAAAATTGGTTTCAGAGTTTTTGTTCCCGTGTTATTTTTTCACTATTTTATGTTGTTTTTAATACAAAAATCACACATTTTTGTGTTAAGAAAATTGCGACCAATAGCTTGAATCATTTTTTAAACTTCTAAAAACTCTCAAAAATTTGCTATTTTCGAGATAGATTATATTAAAATCTTGTTGGGTTGTTGTTTCTTAGTTGTTTTGCGATGAAAATTGCTCAAAAATCTGCTGTTTTTGAGTTTTGACGAAGCTCCCATGACGAAACCTGTTTTCGAGAAGGTCGACCCGCCAAAGGAAGAAGAAGATACTGCAATAGAGAAATCTCAAAAAATCTTAGGGGTTAGGATGAGATTGTGAGAGAGACATCCTATTTATATTTCTCAAAGTATCACGAAATTCACACCAATAGAAATTCATTAAAATTGTTACATTTTTGAATACCAATGTTAATACCAAATTACATAATAATTTTAATAATAATTTATAATTTAATATTAATTTAGACCAAATTGAGCCATTTGGCTAGTTTAATGCCCTAATCTGATATTTACTTGATGAAATAATATTTTATTTACACGATTAAATAATTAATATATAATTTAAATTGTTTTTTTAATCAATCAACCAGGTAAATGGGTAGAGGTCTGAAAGTGCATTATACTTTTTTTGATAAATAATGTGCAGGAAAAAGATTATATTTACAAATTTTTTATTTATAAATTCTTACACAAATTATATTATGTTTGACCGGTCATACTTTGTTAGTGTATGACCGATCAGACTTAGTATAATTTGTAAAAAAAAGATTTGTAAACGGATCCTTCTCCTTACACTTATATAATTATAAGTATATTATAAAGAGGTAAGATCCTTTGACACCGTTGTCAAATTTGAAGTTTGACACCTCATCTGAGAGCTGTTAGATAAAAAAGATCAATGATGTCACATGTTTACAAATCAAAGTCGTTGATATTTTTTGATCTAACGTCTCTTAGATGAGGTGACAAACTTTAAATTTGACACCGGTATCAAAAGATCTGCCTCTATTATAAATAGTTTACATAGTTTTAATTATTAAATTAAAGGTTTGGGTTAATGAATAAAAGTAGAAGGTATATTAATTTCTTTTTAAAATTTTGCGATATTAAATGCGTATAATGCTTTAATAACTATTTTAAGAAATATTTGATGAGTATATTTTTTTTTTTATTTCTTCATTATTTCATCCATTGCCTTATTAATCTGATTCGTTGTTATGTCTGCTACTTGTCGGTTTTTGTTTCTTCGATTTCTCATTTATTTTCTTCGATTTCTCATTTATTTTCTTCCTCATTTGCCATTAAGTTGGATTGAATTTTCCTCATGAGAGAGAGAGAGAGACAGAGAGAGAGAGAGTTGTTTTCCATTGGACTAGAACGGTCGCACTGTTCAAATGTCACTGTCATTTTTAGTTTTTACACCGTCAATTTTACAATTCACTAACAAAAGGAGAAAAGAGAAAAAATGAAAAATAAAAACCACGAGAATGAAGTCTCTATATATAACCATTAACCAACGAAGGAACGTTAACAAATTATAAAAAAGAAAAACCTTCCTAAAGAGAAGGAATATCATACATAAATTTCGGATTTCGCACGTAGGTACAGAAAATAAAAACCAAGCACAGAAACAGAGAGAGAGAGAGAGACAGAGACAGAGAGAGAGAGAGAGAGAGAGAGAGAGAGAGAGACAGAGGGGAAGAGAAGAAGGAAGGCTTGGACTCGAGATCTTGTCAGATCGAAGCGCAACTGCAACTGGAAGCGAGATTGTGGTGCGTTTCCTAACCATTATTCTTTCTTTGTGTTTTTTTTTGTTTCACAATCTATGCAATGTGGCTCTCGATCTTTCATATTTCATGTTGCTTTTGGAGATCTCTTTTTCTTGTAATTTTGGGTGTGGAAAAGTTAGCTCACAACGGAAGGAGGCTGTTTTTCTTTTATTTGTTTGAACTTTTCGAATTAACTGTTGCTGATTACATAATATGATATGATACGATAGCAGTAATTTTGAGTGCTTTCCCTTCTGACTCGTTTTTCTTCTCCCGGCAGCTTCCAGTTAATTTTATTAAACGAATGGTGAATTTTGTTGTTGGAATGCTCATATATATGTCCCTCTTTTTGTTAATCTTAACAAACCAAAACGTGTTGTCTTCATTGACTTTATTATCGTTTTTACCATTCTAGGATGTAAATAGATTTTCTGGAATCGCCTTTTTGTGATCTTGGGCTCCATTAAAACTTGCATGCATATATCCGAATGATTCTGAAGTATATTCTGGAGTCGTGCCTTCGAATGTCTATCTTACCCCTTTTCTCTCGTTCCTCGTCAAATCACATTGAAAACCGATCATTTTTCTTTATTTATTTAAAAGGATTCAGGAGTGGTTGGTAAAATGGCCAAATATCGCATTAAAACTATGGTCATATGAACAGAGATTCTGCTGGAATAGAATTTTTCTTTTCAAGTAGGGTAGTCTCTTGGATCTTTTTTGGTAAGATAACGAGGTGTCCCCATCCCCGTTGGGTGTGGGTCTAATCCCCATTCGGTGTCGGCATAGCCTTGGCCACAAGATGCTTCCAGTGTGTCTCCTATATATATATATCTAGCTAGTAGCAAATTGTCATCTATCTGATTGTGTTCAGTGTTGAACGAGTTCCAGCTTTCATGTGGAGAATGTCCAAAAATCAATATCTAAAATTTTATTTAATTTATAATAATATATTTGTTTGTTTTCAATTTCTATTTGCATCGGAATTTCTTTAATATTTATACCTCCATCTAATGTATTTTTGGCTTCTTTTTAATTTGAAATACCTTTGTTCCCTTTGTTGCTTTTATATCTGCTGTTTGTATTTTTATCTTTATATCTTGATGTTCTGGCCGGCCCAATCGGTCAGCCCAATACCACTGGCCTAATGACAAAGGCCCATATGACCCCAACAGCATGCCAGATACCTCATCCAAAGACACCAAAATGTCTTACATTGGGGCACTCTGCCCTTCCTTTTGTCTACTCAGACACCAAAATGCCATACTGGCAAGACTCCCCTCTCACCTTCCCCTGCACAGCATGGTAGCGGCTGCAAAGTGCATTGCTCCTGCAAGGCTAGGCTACCATGGCTCTTCCCCATATTAGTTGACTTGGTCCACTCTCCCACTAAGATGGAGTCTAACCGTAACTATAAATACCCCCTCCTTCTTCACCATGCAAACACAAAATATCACTACTTTTATGAGATGTTATTCTGTCAATTTGGAGAGCCATTGTAGCCATTCTAAACCACCCCCCATTGTTACACACAGCACCTGAGACCTCTTTGCATAGTTTTGGTCTATACCATTGCTGTCAAGGACACCCCTATAGTGATATAACACACCCCTTGGGGTTACATACGTGGCTCTTACCTCACTAACAGTTCTGTTTCTTTACTGGTCGTGTTTTTCATTTTTTATTGCCATCTTTCTAGGTTTAAGGTGGTAAATATCAGTGAAGTAGTTCTGGCACTGTACAGATTCAGGTGTAGGTGTGTGTTTGTGTCTGTATACCAAAAGAAGAAATTTATTTGTTAGTTTGGCTTGTATCTCAAGCTTTCGGATATGCATGGAAGAGAGATGAATCTCTTCACTACGTCGTGTTGTTTGGTTCATCTTTTTGCTCTTGCATGCAATAATGTACACCATACTTTAGGAAGACATCTGTTCCTGTAACATAGAATGCTTCTGTATGAATCTTCTTAATCTATCCTTGTTCCAGGAGACATAATTTAAAATTCTACTTTGCATGTCAGAGTCTTTGATTTTCTAATCAACATCAACCACTTATTCTAAGTTTTTTTGTTACTTACCCTGTAACTTATACCATGCAGTGTCATGGGGAGAGAAGTTACTGGCATACAGGTTCTGGACCAGAAGCCAAATGGTAATGTAGGGGCTTCAAATGGTAATTTTAGTGATAGAGTGCGTGTTTCTCCCAAAATTGCAGCGATGGTTCAAGCAATGGATCATGAGATAAAGGAATCTAGTGAAGCTAATTCTTTTGTCGAGAAACATCATTTGAAGAAAGATGTTTTGAGTGCCAAACGCACGAACTTAAGTGCTGACTTGCCTGAAGAGAAGAATGAGAAATCTGAAGTACTGAAGAAGGATGAAAATAAAGAATTAACCTCACCTGCTGCGATATCAGTTTCTGTGGATAAAGAGCATACAAGCCCCTCTGCTTCACAGCCAGTTGATCAGGCTACTGAAAAGCATGTCACCTACACACATACTGTTGATACTGAAGCTGTTACAACTGGTCTGAACTTGTCGCCAATGGATAACAAAATGCACTCACCTATTTCCTCAAAGAATTCACAGGTATTTTGTCACATTTTGAAATTTCAAGTATGAACTACTTAATTTCATGTGTTTTGAGAACTGAGTCTAGTATGCAAAGTGGTCCTAGCATATGTTATGTATAAAAGTTGTTATATTGAATTGTTTCCAATAACACTCCGGAAATGAGAAAATGAAATTGTATAAGAACTAAGATCTACTTTTTGCTTTTAATGGATGTTTTCTTGCATGATATATGTTTCTGACCGAGGACTTGTTTTCCCTCCTGCCACCATCTAAACAAATAATTATGCTACAAGACTCCTTTTATAAAATAAGCATATAATTCACATGAATTGTGCTATAAAGTTATTCTACAAGACTCCTTTTAAAGCACAAAATTGAGATGATTGATATGCCATGATTTAAATGATTAGAGTCTTGTATTTCTACTACCTGCTAAGGAGAGATTAGGTTTAACGGGTTGCACAGGGTCAATTTCAAATTCAACCAGTGCCAAAAAAAATCTTTACGTACCAAACAAATACAAGTAGCCTTAATTCAGATTGAATGTCTTAATAGGAACCTTTCTAACTATGACTGTGCAGAACTCGCTACCGATAAAATATATTGCTTGGTAATTTTGCTCATTTGCTAGAATTTCCATGTTAAGACTTGCATGCTTATATGTCTTGAGGTTTGTAGGGATGCTTTGCAATTACATGTAGCTATTTGTGTGTGAGATAGAGTGAATGAGTGTTTTATGAGATTACTGATAAGCAAATTCTTATCCATTTTCTCAGCCAAACTCGCCTTTTTCATCAAAGAAGCCCGTGCAACATGATGATAAGGAGCACCATGGGGATGAAGATAATTGGTCTGTTGCTTCCTCGTATCCTTAAAACTTGAAAATTTTTATAGTTTAATCTGAATAAAGCAAGTTTTAGGTATATTGGGAAACCCTTAGAATCTGCCATACTGAATACTACCGAAGATCAAACGGTTCTTTTATGAATTTTAATAAAAACTATTTGGAAGCCCCCAAATAGAGTTACATTTTACTTGTATTTAAATATAATATGGCAGTAGTTCTCATTTGTTCTTTAACCTTAAATAGTAGCGCCACATCTGCACGCACTGCTAGATCTAAGGTAACTGTAGGTTCAGCCCCTACATTTAGATGCGTGAATCGTGCAGAGAAAAGGAGGGAGGTATTGTTTTACTGAACATTTAATTCTGATGCTGATTGTATTCCTAGTTTGTATTATCCGTTGAATCTAATCAGTGGTCTTGGTTCTTATGGTCACTTTGATTTATCTATCCAGTATTATATGAAGTTAGAGGAGAAAAATCGAGCTCTTGAAGAAGAAAAAATCCAGTATGAGGCAAGGCGAAAGGTACAGTGGTCTTTCTCTTGTTTCCTGCTGGCACACCCTTGTGTGGTTTTTTTATTTTTCACTATTTTCTTTTCTTTTTGTCTCTTCCTTGTGAGAGAAGCATCTCATCACTTAAGCCAAAGCCTTGGTTTATGCCCATGTACATGGGTGACTTTTTGTTTTCTGTTTATCATCCCAGGTTACCTTTTGCATATTGAATTGACTGAATAACTTTCTGTTTATATAATAACCTGTATAGGAAGAGGAAGAAGCAGCCCTTAAGCAGTTGAGAAAGAACTTGGTCATTAAAGCAAAACCAGTACCAAGCTTCTACTATGAGGGTCCTCCCCCAAAGGCTGAACTCAAGAAGGTACTCTTTCCTCTTTTCCATCTTTCTTTTCCAAGTCTCAGGATGAATATGAAAGTACCATTTAGAATTTCAGAATTTGCATGAGTAGACCGAAGGAATACAATACAATAGGAATGTTAAAATGGACGACAATGTAAGCAATGCAAATTTGACAATAGGATACACGATGGCTATAGTACTTATTCTTGTCATGATCATGTCATTTTTACATCTTTTAGGAATGGAAGAGACAGAATCTTAAATTAGTTAATAGCCTTTGTTTCAGTTGGAAAAACTTTTCATTCCCTTTCCTTTGATGGCAGCTGCCACTGACTCGCCCCAAGTCACCAAAACTATCTCGGAGAAGGAGCTGTGGTGATGCTGTCAACTCATCTCCAGAAGTTTGTGCTCGAGCACGGCTCAGTGTTGGGACTAGTCTTAAAAACGGAACCGGTAGCCCTGTCACTCAAAAAAATAAGGACGTAGTCACTGGACGAAACAGCAATGGCACTTGCAAAACCAAAGAACGACCAAAATTGGATAAGGAAACAAAAACAGCTTCTCCTCAAATCACCGAGCAGACAAATGCGGACGTATCAGTCCAATCTTGAGCTTCAGAAAGATTTTACTGACCACCAGTTGAGAGGAAAATAGCCTTCATTTTCCTTGGTAACACCAGATGGGGATATTTCAATAGATGGCCTTATTTTCTTTTCATCTGGACTCACATTTTTTAAGTTTGTTTTTTATCTTGAAGTGTATATGTTTTGTAAGTTATATCGGCACTCATAATCTTATATATAAATAGTTCTTTAATGTAAGATGTGTATCTACGAAATTTGATATTTCCTCAGAACGCTACGGGACTTGATAAGGGAAATTTATATGAAATATATTCCTTTTTGTAGGACTTATTTTATGAGTGCTAAATTTCGTGTCCAATGTGTCTTTTTTCTATTAGGCGATAAAAGTAGCTGGATTGGACGTTGTTATTGGGAGAATACATCATGATCATGTGATACTTGTTAAATCAATCGATTTGTTTCAAGTCTAATCTTCCAATATTATTCCCCTCGCGTAGTTAAAAATAAAAAAAATACAGAAAATAAAAGGTAATACAATCTATTTTTGTTTACAACTTCTTACAATCACATCTTAATCGTTGATTTTTGTCAATCAACGGTTAAGATTTTCGCAAATCAAAATTATTAATTTACAATAAATAACAATCATTGATTGATGGAAATTAACGATTAAAATGTTATTGTAAGAGTTTGTAAATAGAAAGTAAATATTTAAAAATTGCAACTTTCCTGCTAAATAATATTATCACGAAGGGAACGTAAAAAAAAAAAGACCTTCTAATAAAGGGATTAGTGGTTAATGATGATTAATAGATATAATCTTACTAAAATAAATAAAAATCCTAATCCATGCACAGGGTTGAACCAACTCCATTCTCTGAAGTCTGAACCAGCAACCATGGTTGCTCTGAACCTCAACACATCGAAAGTATTATTACCCTTTGCCTTGTGGCCCTCCACAAGTTCAAGTGTGAGTACTGGTGCATTTGGCGTGGTGATGATGGAAGCCCAAAAGCAAAAACCTTCGTCTTCCAAAACCCGCAGGAAATCATCATCTTATGGAACCTCTCGAAGATCAATTCTGAAGAAAACCTTCAAGCAAGAGCAAGTGACCTTCACCGCTTCATTCTCAGATGACCCACTTGTTGCCATTATCGGTGGTGGCATCTCCGGTCTCATTTGCGCCCTCTTCTTAGAGAAACGTGGTGTTCGCTCCACTGTATTCGACACCGTTAGTCTCACTCTTCACTTAATTACCTTCACCATTTCATTATTCTAAAGGGTTACTTTGTTTTATTACCTATATTAGGGTATTCATGGACTTGGAGGAAGAATGGGAACCAGGGTTATTGATCCTCCTCCTCATCCGTTGATATTTGATCATGCGGCTCAATTCTTTACTGTAAGTGATTCTCGGTTTGCTGAGCTTGTTAATGCTTGGATAGACAAGGGTTTGGTCCGTGAGTGGCAGGGTACCATAGGAGAGCTTCAGAATGGTGGTCACTTTGTTCCATTTGTACCCTCTCCTCCAAGATATATAGCTACAAATGGAATGCGGTTCCTTGCTGATTCTTTATTGTCTGAGGTTATTTCTGATTAGAACAATTAACGAGTAAAATGCATTGCTGCTATTCCCATGTTGTTGCCTGATAAGAATATAATTGTTGGTGCAGACTAGCATGGTAAATTTAGTGAGGCCATGCTGGATTAGCAAACTGGAACCATTCAATGGGATGTGGCACTTGAGTGAAAATGGGAAACCTTGTGGGAGCTTCGATGCAATTGTTATTGCACACAATGGTAACTTATTATGTCCATCTTAAGCATATCTTTTCATAGCTTTGCTTCCTTGCAAAAATGATTTATAGATGGACTTTATTTTTTTATCTTAAAGGGGAAAAAAAAAGGGTTCTGCCTTTACTTGTCCGGGTGTCTGTTTGGATTGCTATTCTGAAATTGTATGGCAATCTGAAAATTTATACAATTTTTGGCTTCTTGTGCACTGTTATCAGCCTGGAGTGCCCTTCTGTAAACAGTCATCCATTTTCTGGCTTCTTCTATTAACTATTGCTCTGTTTGCCAACAGGAAAATGTGCAAATCGCTTGCTTATGACATCGGGATTACCATTAATTGCAAAACAAATGAAGGTCAATCAAGGATATCCCCTGTTCAGTTCATTTGATTTAATAAACTAGTCCACTTTTCAGCTTCATTTACTGTTAAGGCAGAGTTATATTCATCTCATACTGTTTCTTGTTTCTGTTGTATTGTCCATCACTCCATTGTGTTAGAGGTTGGAGTTGAGTTCAATATGGGCCCTTCTTGCAGCATTTGAGGACCCTCTTCCTCTTCCAGGTTGCACAGAAGTTCCTTTTGAAGGAGCTTTTGTGAGAGGAGTTGATTCAGTGTCATGGATGGCCAATAATACCAAGAAACTACGGACTTCCCAGAGTGGTGGTCCTCACTGTTGGACCTTTCTGAGCACTGCCGCTTATGGAAAACAGAACAAGGTTCCACAGGTAGGTGGTTGATTTTCAGTACAGTATGATATACGACTTAGTTTCACAAGTGTTAGATTGGCTTTAGGCTTACAGTCATTATTTTTGGGGGGATTGGAGGAGGAATATTAATGATAATAATATATCATTACCTTACCTGGAATTATACTTGAAAGGGATTTGATTAATTTATTAATAACCTATAGCATGCAATCTTTTTCTTTTTGTCCTCCCATGTTTAATAACTGAAATTTGAACCAACTTCTGTGTATCAGGAAAACATCCCTACTGCTACAGCAGAAAAGGTAAAGGCAGGTATGCTAGAGGGTGTTGAGGCTGCCCTTGGATTATCAAAGGGGTCACTTCCAAAACCTTTTTATACTAGGCTCCAACTATGGTGAGGGCCATATCTTGAAGTATTGGTGTTAGTTGCTTTGAAATGTCCTGCCATAGTTTTGGCAAAGTTGGGGTTAGAGAGCTTTTTTCTTGTTTGTGCTAATAAGGTAGGTAACCCAGAACTAGCATGTTCAAGCTGCGTACTTTGCATATGTAGTCTATGAATGAGGTAATTGGGTCAATAAGGAAGGGAAAAAAGAGCAAAACAGTAAACAAGATGGTTCAATAGAATTAAAAGTATTAGCAATTTACTTGAATCAGCTTACTTGGATCAGATCAAGTTTAAAGAAAGGACCTTAAATGATGAGGAATATACTTGAGCTGGAAGATGAGGATGTGAATATTAAATGCATATTTTTAGTAATGCCATTTGGGAAGAGTTACAGAAAAATTATAAACTCATTTGACCATCATGTAGCTTCTCAAACAATACGATTGCTTGACAATCAAAAAGTTAATTACACATGTTCCCTCAGTAGCATTTCTTGTGTGATTGTTCTCGGCCACAGCTAATCCTCAACAGACTAGATGGGATATTATTTTATTGTCTCAGTATCTAAAATGTCAGAATGGTAGCTCTAGAACACTGTATGTCTGTTTAATTGATTTTAAATTATAAGTATGTTATTCTGAGATTTGCAGGGGTGCAGCTCTTCCAACCAATACACCTGGAATTCCTTGCATCTTTGATCCCTTTGGGAGGGCTGGGATATGTGGTGATTGGCTGCTAGGTTCTAATATAGAGGCAGCAGTCTTAAGTGGAATCGCTCTAGCTAACCATGTATGCCACTTTCACTTTGACATGTCAATTTCTGTCATTTGTTTACTGCAATTTTTAAATATTCTAATCGGATATCTTCACCGTAAGTAGTTCTGTTTTACTCGATTATGAATGGCTTTAACATATCCTTTCGTTGTTCAAAATTGGGTTGGACATTTTTGTCACAGATTGCAGACTATTTCCAAAGCCCCGGAACAGACCATGAAGAGTTTGCTATTGGTTTGAATCATGAGTTTCAACCACTGGAAGGCCATGATATTGGACAATTCCCAGGTTTGGGGTCAGAAGAAAAGATGAATGAAGCCCCAGTATACAAACTTGCCAAGTAGGCCGTAGTTCTCATGAAGCAGATCCTCTAGTAACAGAAAACTCATTTCATATGCACGCAAAGAAATGCCCTTGAAAGTAGCGTCACTGGGTATCAGTGGAAGATTTAACTTGATACACAAACTATCGTTGGGGTAATAGGGGCCTTATCTTCCTCAGCAGCGACGTGACATGGCACATAATGGTAATTTACTTGTCTCTTTTGAAGAAAGAGATAATGGCATTCTTGTGTTTATGGGAATGAAAAAAATTGAGTCCCCGAATGAAATTTTGAGAAATTAATAAAACCCTCATTCTCGTCCATTACAATTAATTTTCTTTTCAATTTCCAGGTCAGAGAAAACATTAAATTTGAATCGTTAGGAACTGTATTAAATGCAATTTTTGCCTTTAAAATAAGAAACAAAACACTGTAACTGTACATTTCTACCGAACTACTCTTTCTAGTTTTTACACAGCATTTTTTGTACATAATATAACCCAACTGAAATTATGTAAACGAACAAATAATCCGAGTGCTTTCTATACAGAACTGCAGATACATGACAACATGAATGATGTTCAGATTTTGTAGAAACAAAAACTGACAGAGTATAAATAATATTCATATATATAGCAAAACATGATAGGCAGGAGGAAAATATAGAAATTAGAAACCCAACAAATAAAAGGAGCAATCGAAGTATTTTACACTTTGAAGCAACGCAAAAAAGCCGGTTTTATTTGCTTGAATTCCATGGCTTCCTTAAAAGAACCAAGCTCTTTCTCCTAGAGCTAAACAACCATGCAGAGCATTTCTTTTCATCGTCCATTTTGATTGACAAATTGTGAGAAGATAGCAGCAGTCGAATTCTCAATGGAATCCTGGCTAAGCTCATGCTCATACTCACTTCCAAGGCTCAGGTTTTTATAATGGCTTGCCATGTCGGTATTTCCCAAGCTTATTTCTTCAAACTCACTTTGGTCAACACGTGCAGAGTGAGTTGAACCATCACGGTTTTCTTGCAGGTTGAGAGCAAATTCAAGATTCCACAGCAGATCATTCATGGAGGGACGATCACCTCCATGATCAGACAAGCACTTTTCAGCTGTGTCTGCAAACTTCTTCAAGCTTTCTGGATGAATCTGTCCTTTGATATGGGGGTCAATAATATCCTCCAGTGTTCCTTTTTGTTTGCAGAGCAATGCCCATTCCGCAAGACTAACGTGTTCCTTTGGAAGGCTAGGATTTAGAACAGGCCTGGCACAGAGGGCTTCAAACAGAACAACCCCAAATGAGTAGACATCAGACTTCTCAGTCAACTGTTGCCTCCTGAAGTATTCAGGATCCAAGTAGCCAAAACTGCCCTTCACCACTGTACTAACATGACCATTTTTCATATCTGGACCCGTTTTTGACAACCCAAAATCCGAAACCTTGGCAGCCCAGTTTTCATCCAAGAGAATGTTTGTTGTTTTGACATCTCTATGAATGATGGTGTACTTAGCCCCTGTGTGAAGGTAGTGAAGCCCTCTTGCAGCTCCAATGCAGATCTCCAGCCTTTGCTTCCATGATAGAGTAGACACAGGCTTGTTGCCCTTGTATAGATGTTCCCTAAAGGTGCCGAGAGCCATGTAGTCATAAACCAGACACATCTCATCATCTTCCTCGCAAAATCCCATCAAGGACACCAAATGCTTGTGTCTCAGCTTGGAAAGCATCTCAATTTCAGTCCGGAATTCATTAACTCCTTGTTCTGATTGTGGGTTCGACCTCTTAATTGCCACTTTCATTCCACTATCAATAACACCCTTGTAAACCTTTCCAAATCCACCAACACCAATGACGTTGGACTCATCAAAATTCTTGGTTGCTTGCTTTATCTCTTGTAAGGAGAAATAGCGGCAAAGACCTTGAGCCCCGGCGGATAGGTTGGCACTACCATAGCTCTTCCCAGATATGGTGGATTTGCTGCCAGTTGAGCTTGAGTTCCCATAGATGGGCAGCCAGCTTGTGTGCGTGTGTGACCCCGGAAGTCTCTTCTTCTTGTGGTAGACAGCAACGCATATTGCAGCCATTAACGCAAAACCTGCAGCACCTCCAGCAGCTCCACCAATAATGACATTCTTATCATATGCTTTGTGGTTTTGGAAACTCGTTTCCTCTTCATGCTTGAGGAGCATGTCCGAAGGCTGAGGATTGGGGCCAGACAAGTCTGTGTCATTGAGCTTGAATATCTCCACCCCATTGAGTATGGCATCATAAAACTCTGGCTTTGTATCAGGTGCTGGATGAAGAGCAAGCCAGAGCTGCTCATCTCCCTCCCCATCTTGGACATATACAACATAGTCCTTGTAAGTTGGCACACCTTTGCCTCCTGTCCACCCATTCACATCAGCTTGAGCTTGTGCTGTTTGGTTGTTCACGAAGATATTGAAAACAATCTCGTTAACTTTGGAATAATAGTAATCACAGAAATGCAACCTCGCCAGGTACATGGAATTTGGATCAACTTGGAAAATCCACGTGAGATTGTAGCCCATGTTTACATCCTTATTGGTACCCATTGATCTTGACGTGGAGTAGACATCAGAAGGAGCAATGTACTGTGGCATGGTCTGGTAGTTGATTTTGACATCCTTGGTAGCTTGGTTGGTGACACCAGTGGCTGCACCATAAAGGTAAGGTGTGTCATCGTACCACATCCTTGTAAGGCCAGAGTCTTGTGTTGGAGATATATACTGTCCACCAACGTTTAGTCTGAACATGGTTTGCAAATTCAAACTTTTGACGTCCACGGTTTGCTCAGTGTACCCGACCAATGCAGCTGAATCAAACAACTCGGGCATTTGGATCAACTGAATGCCATTGACAAAAGCAAAAGCCCCGTTGTACTTGTCAGAAGGCTTGAAGGTAAGAGTCAAACTATCTGAATTCAAAGGTGCAAGGGAATACTCTCTGTCAATGTAAGCTTGTGAGAGGGCCTCACAAGTGATTGAGGCGCTGAAATTGCTGAGGAGCGTAACCCCATTTGCAGTCACGGAGAAATATGAATCGGAGGGGTTGAAACTGCCATAAAGAGAGGGATAAAAATGGAGCCTGAGCCAATAGCGCTTATCAGGTTGAACAGGGAATTTGTATGTTGCCTCGGATGTGAAAACTCGAGCTGACATGTATGGAACCTCAGACAAAACGGAAGGGTCTTGGTAGGAGGCTTTGGATGTGAATGAATTTGTACCTTCTACCAGGAACTTATTATCAGGGCTCCATTGCCTTCCATCACCATCCTTGGCACCACCTTCTTCCAACCCACAATCCAAGATCAATGACCCTGGGTCCTCTATAGGTGCAGCATTAATGCCATTTAATGAAACAGAGATACAAACAAGAGAAAGCAAGAGGCTTGCAATGGTATGCATGATTCAATAGGTTTGGGCGTACAGGAAAATATGCTGGGTGACAAAAAGTTAACAAGACAAGAAGGGTTTTCCTGTACCCCCAAAAGAGGAAAATGGCTTCTTGGTTTTTCTTTGTGCTCTGATGGTAGAGGGGTTCTAGTTTAAGCCATCCTAATCAACTATGGATACTCAAGCAACTAAAGGCCTACCTGGGTTGGAGGTACCAAACCAGGAGGCAAGAAGGGAGAGATGAGGTTTCTATTATTTTCTGTATTATGACAACTCAGTTTTGCTCTTTCGTTCTGAATTCCAATTTTGGTAAATAATTTTTTATTTTTTGGATTTTTCTTTTTTCTTTTCCACACTTAAGAATGGGAGGTGGGGAGCAAGAATCGTAATTGAGTGAATTGGATTGGTTACAAAGAGGTTTGAATTTGAGACAGATGATCAGTCTAAGCTATATTTAGCATTAGATTCGCCTAGAATTTGTGGACTACTTGTTTGTTCACACAGTCTGTCATTACACACACTCTGAAAACGAGGTAGAAAAGAAATAACAATCTAGATGCTTCTTCTCACAAACAACTTCAAAACTCAAACACTCTGTCTCTCATACCCCTAAAACGAACGCACATGATATCTACACAACAGAATCTGTTCAAGTTTCGTCCTAACTGCTAAAACGTTAAATCATATTAACAGGCATATTTTTAGGAAATCTTCTTATTTTGCGTATTATTCATTTTTCATACGTATAATTTTCGGTACATTATATTTATAATTTTATAGAACGTGATTTTTCATATTTAATTATTATCCCGGATATACTAAGTTTTACAAAGTATTTTTAATGCAAATTTTTGAATATAAATGAAGAGAATGTCAAAAATTAATTTTAGTTTTGTTATGCGATATTACTACTATTGAAATAATTTTTCTCTCTTATCAAAATTTACCTTTATTCAATTGAATTATTAATTTAAGTTTCTTGAATTATAATAAGCTACCCTGATGCATTTAATGATATAAATAGTTGTTGTTATTTTAATGATATAATAATGTATAAATAGATAGATAAAGCTATTGTTATTTTAATTATTTACATTAATGTAATTAACTTTAAGCCATGCATACCGGCTTTTTCACCCTTTTGCCCCTTATTAATTAATTAATAACCATTTTGCCCCTGATTTGAAACTATCTACCAATTTGTCCCTCTTTAATCGACTACCTTGCATTTTTAATCGACTAAACGGTTGTTGAGAGATTTAATCGACTAAATCTCCCTACTTAATCGATTACAATCATACTGACTTATTTTTTTTTTGGTCAAATATGAAGATTTAGTCGACTAAATATGAAGATTTAGTCGACTAAATAGGGAGATTTAGTCGACTAAATCTCCCAGCAGCCATTTTTTGTCTGTTTTGACCATTTAGTCGATTAAAAATGCAAGGTAATCGACTAAAGAGGGGCAGATTGATAAATAGTTTCGAATCAGGGGCAAAATGGTTATTAATTAATTAATAAGGGATAAAAGGGTGAAAAAGCCCATGCATATCCCTTAAAATAATTTAAACTTTTATTTATTTATTTTGGTTTGAGAGTAATAATATTTACGCATCAACTAATGTTTGTTTATTATTAAAAGGAGTAATGTGAGAATGATGTAAAATTCAATATTGTTAGTTGTGTTAGTGATATTATAATTGCAAATATGGTTGACACATATTATGCATTAAGAGCACAGTGACACAGGGGCAACAGCAACACAATAGATAAACTTTGATACAAAGGCAATGACATTGATGACACATCAGGTGTCAAGTGCATGATCAGTTGCATGCATGCAGAGCTATGTAGCAAGAGAAGACCCTCTTAAATTTGGGTATGGTTTAAGGAAGCATATTCTGGTTTGTGAGGAAGATTCTACGTACCCCAAATGTAGGAGCACAGCATATATACAACAACATATATACTCTATTAAATATTCCTCACCATGTTCCTCCTATTATTAACTCTGCCGACAGTTACAAATGAATGGTCGAATATCAAACAGTTAAACCCCCCATTAATAGGCTCCTATTTAAATAGCTCCTCCATTTCCCACTTTCACCATTCATTCATTCATTCCACGCTTTTAAATTTAATCAACCCTTCACGGCGGCGCGGCGAGGCGGCATCCTCCTTGTATAGCTGCCTCTGCCACCACCATATACTTTAATATATTTCATCTGCTTTTTTAATTTCAATCATCTAATTCCCTTCCCCAACAATAAAGAAAAACAAATATATATATATATATATACACATACCAATATTTATTTTTGGCTAGCTATCCCTTTGCATTATATACATATATAAAAATAAATATAGGAATGAGCGAAGAAGATCAGCAACTCCATCAAAGAGAGTTATCAGCGTACGAATCAGAAGAAGATCAGGAGTTGCAGCAGCAGCATACGCCATTGGCACCCCCGGGGTGGAAGAAAAGGAAGCGTCTTTCGAAGCAGTTATCAATGAGGGAAAGAGCAGGAGACATTGCTTGGGAGAGAAGGCGCCGCCAGATTTATCGGCAAGATCGAAGGAGGAACAGTATTCACAATTGTGATGACCTCACAGATGAAGACCTACACGAGCTTAAAGGTTGTATTGAATTGGGTTTTGGATTCAATGAGGAAGATGGCCAGAAACTATGCAACACCTTGCCCGCTCTTGACCTATATTTCGCCGTGAACCGCCAGCTATCACCCAGTCCTGTCTCTACCCCTAATTATAATAATTGTGCCTCTTCATACTTTGGAACGTCCCTTATCAATGCTGACTCTGATCCTTCTTGGAAGATTTGTAGCCCAGGTGAGTCAATTATTATAGATTATATATACTTTTTATTTTGTTATTATATTATTGTTCCCATGCATGCATGCATGCATGCTTGCTGTTGCATCGCCACGGATACAAGATAAAGGACAGGGAAATATCTATTGTGCAACCGTGGCACAATACACTCCATGCGACTAACCAATCAACATGGAGCAAGGAGCTCTATTGTTCGTACGAAAAAAGAAGAAAATATTTTTTAATCCACTTGTCATTTTCTTAATTGCATATGTATATACTACTGCCGTGTAGAAGATGATCTCTAGGACAGGGCATGATATGACAGTACACTCTGATACGTTAATTCTAAAAAGTATTAGATTTTGACACATTAAGATATGTTTTAATATTAAATAATATTCTTAATTTATATAGTGTATATTATATATAATATTTAATAATCTAACAAAAATTGAAGCTAAACTTATAATATCTATCAATTTTGCAAAGAAACATAAAATATCCCAAATATTTATATTAAATTCTATAAAACGGTAATCGTAATTCAACGAATCTAATAGCTAAAACTAAAAACGCAACACAACACAACCTTTGAACCCTTTTTTGAGTCTCTATAATGCATGTTGAAGTATCGGACACGACACGTCAGAATTTTTGAAGTATCGGTACATCATAACATGCATACATGCCCATTCATAATGATTTATGTACGGGGATATAGTTTCTTCATGTTGCATAATACAAAATATCTCATACAACGTTCAAAAAAGTGAATGGGCCCCTAAAAAAGAGAGATAAAGAAAACAAGTGAGCCCTATTTACTTTTTTTGTATGTTGCATGAGATAAATTGTCTCATTCAATGCAATATAAGAAAAATATTTTTCTTTATTTATTTATTTCATTTCAGCCAAAATTAATGCATGTTGGTATTTGATGTGAATGATTAAAATTATTTCATGTTTTTGGTCAATGTGTTCACGTTGTAATTTGTTGTAATGCAGGGGATGACCCTGAACATATAAAGACCAAGTTAAGGCACTGGGCTCAGGCTGTCGCTTGTTCTGTAATGCAGTCTCATTGAAGTGTGGGATGATTTGTACAGAGGGAGATTCTAGAGAGATGTACAGAGAACCAGCAACAAAAGTCCGAAACAGAAACTAGACAGAGAAAAGGAGTCGCAGCTTCAAGTTTCTTTCTATTTCTTGCGTTTCTGGGCAGTTAAAAAAAAATAGAAAATCAAAAGACGAAAAAACACACCAAAAAATAAAAAAAATACAAAAACAGTGCAGCTTTCTTTGGGGTTTTTGTTGGAGCTAAACAAACGCAATGGTTGGCTCCAATTTGAATATTGGTTAGAAGATTACGGTCTCTATTCAATCATCCCATTTTTCCTTTTTCCTTTTTTTGTCTTTGTATGTAATTTTTTGGATGTGGAACTGTCTCTCCGAGGGTCTATTCTTGTAAACAATTTTGAGCCACTGGCAAAAACCACAGCATAGAGATGTCTTTTTTGACCATAATTCAAATGAAATGTATTTGCATATAAAATTCAAATTTAAGATGATGAAGCTTGTATTATAAAATGCATCTACTTACCTATGATTTTTAGATGATAAGGTTATGCATGGTAGTTAAAATGAGGATTTTACCAAAAATCAGAAGAGGATAAAAAATCGTAAAACGTAAAATCTTAACGTAAGAAAAATCGTAAAATCGTAAAAGCGTTTGAAATTTTGGTATAATCGCTTTGATTGGAAAAAATCGTAAAATCTAAGATTTAAATCGAAATTTTAACTACCGTGAGGTTATGTGAAAATTTTGTGATTGTTTTTTTTTTTTTTCATAAACATTAAATAGAAGGACATAGGGATAAACATATAATTTTAACGTGAAAAGGTTGTGCCAAATTTCTTACAACTATAATTTCGACTACACATTAACTAACAAAAATCAGAAATTGTTTTTGAAGAAAGGACATCTAAAATACGGAAAAATAAGGGGGCCTGAACCTAAAAACCTTGTAAAAGAGGGTAAGAAAAACAAACGGCAAACATATCAATAACAATATTGAGAGAAAAAAATATAAAGATGTTAAATAGCATGTATACGTACTAACTCCAACTTTGAAATTAATTAAATTCTAAAGTATGTTTACACTCCGACCTTACAGAAAACACCACAAGAACATACGTTAATTCTGCACTGACACAAGAGTATTTAATATGAAATATATGACACTCTCTTCCAAATGCTACGCTTTCAGCCAGCAGTATCATCATTTGAAGGAAAACTTGGATATAAAGGGAAAAGAAAAAGAAAAAGAAAACTCCCTATTAAATTCTGAACTAGCTAGGATGAAGTGAGAACAATTCTTGTAAGCACGCATCCTATCCTTAGCATATTTTCAAAACTGTATAAAATATTCTTGCATACTTCATGGCCTACAGGAAACATGAGCTAAATATAAATGTCATCATATTATATGTTGTATAAGATTTTAGCTTTAAAACTGCCATTGTAAAATCTCACTCGAAATTATCGACGGACCTGCATGTTTGCAACTGTGTGCAAGGGCACACATAAAATTTCAGGAAAAAGAGAGAGAATAAAATACATTTTGATCCTCAACAAAAATTACGGGACCTAATTTAATTTCTTAGAAAAAAAAGTCAAACCTTTGAAATTTCAAAATAGACTTAGTTAATCAAAATCGTGATCCCTCTGACATTAAAAAAAAATCCATATTAATCCCTCAAAAGGATTAACACGGGTCTATTTTTTAACGGCCTAGATTACTATTTTTTTATGTTAAGTTGAAATTTTCTTTTCTTTTCTTGTTTATTTTAATTTTTTTTAATACATTTTAAATTTTCTTTCATTTTTTTCTGAGGCAGTCTAAATGTGCACACATTTTTCTAGATTCGCCAGTGCTCCAAATAGTTGTTTTACTACAAACATTAGCCGTTTCTTTTATAAATTTTTTCACTCTATTTGCCTTCAATTATTCTAAGTAAGCAGTGCGTCAAATATTTTCCCCAACCGCGGGTGAATTCAATGCAGAGTTATTAAACCCGGACTGACCCAGCTGGGTCGATCTGAGAATCGGTAAATCGGTCATATAACTGGTCTGGTTGAAGCAACGGACCGGCCATGCATCAGAACCGGTGTGACCCGGTCCGACCCGGCCGGTTTTTATAAAAACCGGTGACCCGGTCAGTTAACCGGTGATCCGGCCCGGTCCCAAAAAAAAATTACATATTTTTTGTTTTCAAAAAAAAAATCATAATGGACATATTTGAATATTTTTTTTGCTTATTGACTTACATAAGTTATGTACCTACAACACTAATGTTATCTCAATTATGTACTATGCAGAAAATTTTGAATTAATTTATAGTTAGAGATGTCATTTTCTGAACTTAAAGTCTTATATCACGATCGTTATATTTTTGTTTGATCTTTTATTGGATAATAATATGTGATTTATTATTTTTTATATTAAATTATTTGAAATTTTTATCATTTTTTTTAGATATTTGAGTATGTTTGTAATTTTTTAATATAAATTATAAAATTCATATAATTATCGGGTCATGCGATTGAACCAGTGACCCACTGGTTGAACCAGTGACCCAGTACCTCGACCGGGTCGATGACCGAGCCGGTTTTAATAACATTGATTCAATCCACCACCATACCTTATCTTTTTGTTGCAATTTCATGTCTCATTTTTTATAACAAAAAATGAAGTATTATTAGCTGCTTTATGAATATTCATTTTTTTCTTGAATACAATGATGCTATGTAGCACTAATACTGACACAGGACACGTGACACGACACGACACTCCGACACGTTAATTCTAAAAAATGTTAGATTTCGATACGTTAGGACACATTTTGATATTAAATAATATTTTTAATTTATGATTATATTTAATATTCAATAATTTAACAAAAAAATTAAACTAAACTTATAATATTCATAAATTTTGCAAAGAAACAAGAGATATCCCAAATATTTATATTAAATTCAATAAAATGGTAATCGTAATTCAACGAATATAATGGTTAGAACTCAAAACTCAACGCAACGCAACGCAATCTTTGAACTTTTTTAAAAATTTTATAACGCATGTTGAAGTGTCGAAGTGTCGATGAGTGTCGGACACGATACGTCAGAATTTTTGAAGTGTCACTACTTCATAGCAACGATGAGTTCAAGGTTTGAATTTATACTCATGGGTCAAGGCCTTTCAAGCTTTCGCCACTAACTCACTCTTAGTGACTTATACGTATTATTTTTTTTAAGTTGCAACTAATATATATTAATATGCTGTTCAATTGAGAAAATAGACGACATTTTCGTAGAGTTATAGGCATCAGTAATAATTAGCAGCGTTCAATAAGATTAAAGTTGGGTTGCGCATCAGTTTGGGCTTTGAACTGTTGAAATATTATTGAGGCCCAACTAAAACTAATAATAATAATAATAATTTAGCGGACCTAACATAACACAGAAACCCCAAATCTATACTGAACCAAAAAAATAAAAAAAACGACAGCTGAATGTCAAACTCAGAGTCAAACCTAGTTTTGGCCAGTGGAGTTGCAGTTGTTTTTTCTGTGTTTCGTGGCATAATATATCCTTAAAAAAAAAAAAAAAAAAAAAAAAGAGAGGAAAGAGAGTGAGTGTGAGAATTAAAAAGGTTTTGGTTTCTTCGGAGACATAAAACCAAAACCCCAGACACTGTAGTGTCCAAAATCAAAATAGTGGAAGCGAGAGGTTTTACTTTTTGTGAAGTAAGAAAACCCTTTATTCTTCTTCTCTTTCCGTTGCTATGGCTCCCGATGCTTCCGACGCACTTGCAGGTAAAATCTCTCTCTCTCTCTCTCTCATTCACTCTGTATGGAATATTATTGTTACTCTTTCTCCGTTTACAATTACAAGGTTTTCTTCTCTGTCGTTGTAGTGAGACAGAAAGTTCAACTATTTCTCAACGCTGCTTGTTCCGGCAATCTTGATCTCCTAAAGAGTAACCTTATTTTCGTTCTTTGTTTCTACAATGCTTTTGGCCTTTTATCTCATTTCATCTCTGTTACTATGGTAGAATTGGCGGGGCAGCTAGATGAGGGAAAGGATTTACCTAAGACAGTGGAAGCAATAAAGGACGCAAACAAGCGAGGAGCACTTCATTTTGCCGCTCGAGAAGGCCAAACTGAGGTTTGCAACTACCTCTTAGAGGAACTCAACCTTCATGTAGATTCTAAAGATGACGATGGTTTGTGCCTGTGCTTGTCCTTGTGCTTCTGCTTCTCTCTCATATTTATTGTTCATTCTTTTGTGCTAACTTTTCCAATTTGCTTTTATTGCTTTTTAGGCGAGACTGCTCTCATTCATGCTGCTCGTCAGGGACACACAGCCACTGCTAAATATCTTATTGACCGTGCTGCTGATCCTACTATAGCTAGCAATTTAGGGGCTACGGCCTTGCACCATTCTGCAGGGATAGGTATGTTCTATTTAATTACCTTTCTACATACTTGTGTGAGAAAATATATTTGATTTATATCTGCTTTCATTATCTCTTCATTATGCTATTTTATAAAAGTTTGGACACCTTTTTACTCTTTTTCTGATGATTTTGTTGTATTCTGTGCTTTTTTGCAGGAGATACTGAGCTGCTCAAGCATTTGCTGTCCAGAGGAATTAATCCTGATTTAGAAAGTGATGCAGGAACTCCTTTGGTTTGGGCTGCTGGTCATGCCCAACAAGCTGCTGTCAGTGTTCTGTTAGAACATGGTGCAAATGTATGCCCTCTTTTATTTATTTATTTATTTATTTTTTGTGTTTCTTTTTAATAATATAGTTGATTGGAAGGTTTGATGCTAAATAGTGTTCTGAGGTGCTCCCCGACTACTTTGTCTTTTAATTGGATATGCAGAGTATCATATGGCGTATTAACTTCTGGTTCTGTGGACTTATGAAGTATTACTCATTCGACCACATGTTAATAATCAATATGCTGTAGTTGCGGAAACTTTTCTTATTTCCATGTCAATAATTCTATGATTTGATTACTGCTAGTCAGCGTAACATTTATCAATTTGCATTGTCATTGAGATCTGTTTGCTTAAACAGTTCACTAGGCTTAAATCTTAATCATCCTAGGATTAATTTATTCTTTTTGCTTGATTCTTAAATACCTAATAAGACAATGCCTTAGAGCTTGTTTATTTTGCACACTAGAACTTATTTGTGCTATAGTGCCTTTTTTCGTGTGTGTAATATGCTTGTAACATGGTGTGGTTAAACAAATGATCTTTCATAAATCATAAGTATGCTGTGTTCAAGATTTTAATTTTAGTTTTTCGATTTATATTTTATAGAATGGCACTATTCTAATAGTATAATAGTTATAATATTTTTCCTTTCATCTTGTTGATGTTATTTTGCAGCCTAATGCTGAAACTGATGATGGTATTACCCCACTCCTTTCATCCGTGGCAGCCAATTCTCTAGCATGCTTAGAGCTGTTAATTCAGGTTTTGCATCCTTTTCAACTTGTCAACTCTGACTTTATCAGCCAGCAAATTAACTATATCATATATCTATTTATTTTGGATCTACGAAACATGGAATAATATAACACATGATACGTTATATATATATACTCCAACGTGGAAATCGTAGCAAATTTATCAGTATATATGATGGGATACATTGTAGATTATAAATAAATATATACAACTGACATCCTTCATAAGGATCAAGGATATAAGTAATGATTTGATACTGAACGACTTATCATAGGAGCGCAGTAATGCCATAAAAAAGGAACTTTTTGTATGACAATGCAATCAGGTTGAAAATCTATTTTCATGTTCTATATTCATAGGGTTTAGTTATTTTAAAGTATATATCCCCAGTATTACAAAAATGTACTGGGAAAGAGCGCTAGTGGGAGGGACATATGTAATATGGATTGAATCTGGGTAATGAAAAGAGAAGGTGGAGCCATGTTGGTAAAATATGTTCAGATTTATTCAAATCTGGATTGAACCTTGTGTTTTGATGAAATTTTGTTAAAGAATGCACTTTTTCTTGAAAGATGTCTCTGTACTCTAGAGGTAAGCGGTAGACATACCCATCCATCCCTTGATGTTTATGTAAGTACTGTAGAAGTTTTGTTATGTGCAATCCAAATGAATATGGATTTAGGGGGGAAATTTTTGTATACAATATACAAGGATAGTAAAGACTATTGCAATTGAGATCTCATTTAGGAGAGCAAGTAGATAATGTTTTTTATTCGAACAAAATGTGGTAAGTTACGTAGTAAAGACTTTCTATTACATCTGGTTTTAAACAATTTTTTGTGGTTTTCTGTGGATGTGTATGTGTGGGTAAGGTGTTACTTTCTTCCTATACGTTCTTTGTCTCGTGCTCCATCTATATCCTTATATTTGAATCTTATCGTGTTCAGGCAGGTGGTAAAGTAAATGTTAGTGCTGGTGGAGCAACTCCTTTGCACATTGCAGCTGATAATGGAAGTCTAGAACTTATAAATTGCTTATTGAAAGCTGGAGCTGATCCTAATATCTCTGACGAGGTGAGACCGATTTATCTTTTTGTCTCATAACCTTCAATTGTTATTGTAGGAATCAATGACTAACAAAATAGTGCTTAGAGTCCACTTATCTAGGAACCCTATAGTCCTAAGAATACCAAAACTGTAATCAGTTTTATTTATGTTTTCAAGTTCCTTCCAAACTTTCAATATAATTCCTATCTCTTTGCTTGTCACGTGCCGTACTTATGGTTGTGGTGATATTTGGAATAACGTTTGACCTCTGTTTGCATCACAGGATGGTGTCAAGCCAATACAGGTTGCAGCTGCTAGGGGCAATCGTGGAGCTGTTGACATATTGTTCCCCTTGACGTCCAAAATTGATACTGTTCCTACTTGGACTATTGACGGGATACTTGAGTATATGCAATCTGAAACTAAAAAGCAACAGGTACTGAAATCCTAAATTTTTCTTTTATGTCCAACTGGACTGAGCTAAGCCATATCACTGCTGTGAGAACGTCAAACAACTATGCTTTCTTTTGAATGAGGTAGTATGAAACTATGTTTGCAATAATTATAGCATTATCTTAAAATACAAGGATTTGTCTTGTAGATTTGTAGGTTGTCCAAAATAAGTATGTTCTGCATTTTTTGTCACAAAGAAGAGGATGGTCTCTAGAATTTCACTGTAGCTTTCTAAATTAAAATGGCAAAGAACATAAGATATCATCTGCACAAGCCAACCAGCAAATATTCCATCCTCCAACATAGAATTGGCTCTATATACTTCCGCCACTAAAATTATCAATTCTTTAACTGGTTCTGGTGGCAAATTAGTATATAGTCTTGATCATATTCTGCACAATGTCTAGAATAAAAAATGAACAACTGATGCTTTCTGATGATAGTTTGCATGTTGTCTGATGTAATGGATTTCTTGGTCTTTTTACTAAGTATTAAGGGAAATATGCAGGATGAATTGGTAAATGCTAAAGAAACTAATCGGCCCAAGGATGCTGTTTTTCAGGAGCAAAATGTCCCTGAGGTGTGCTTTTCTCTTATTAAATATATATTACCTACATCTTTTCTTTTTTAATTGGATTGATTACAGTTGTAATAGATTGTAAATAGCTGCGCACATATTGTCAACATATCTAGGTGGCACCTGAAGCCAAAAAGAGAGCAGCAGAAGCAAAATCAAGAGCGGATGAGGCCTTTAAAAGCAAAGACTATCATATGGCTATAGATTCTTATACTCAAGTAAAGTCTCATGATCTCTCATTTGACTCTTGAATGTCTTCCTGTTCTGTAACTTATTTATTGAGTACTTTTCTTGCACAATTTCAGATCATACCTCCTGTTAGTCATACGTCTCGCTAATGTTTCTGTGCAGTGTCTACTGGCATGAGCATGCTTATCTAGTGTATTTAGAGAAAAATATTTGCCTGTATTGTATCTTCATTCTATTTCTATATGATGATCAATTTATGAAATGATGTTTTCTTTCTTGGAAATGTATTAACAGGCAATTGATCTGGACCCCACTGATGCTACTTTGCTATCCAATAGAAGTCTTTGTTGGATTAGATTGGGTCAAGCTGAGCATGCTTTAGCTGATGCAAAGGCGTGCAGAGCATTAAGACCAGATTGGCCAAAAGCTTGTTATAGGGAAGGGGCAGCTTTGCGTGTGTTGCAGGCATGTTATCTAGTAACCCTTTGCTATTGACATTAGCAGCAGGATACGTGATTCACATCTCTAAAACTTTACTTGGCTATCCATTTGCAGAAGTTTGATGAAGCTGCAAATGCTTTTTATGAGGGAGTAAAGCTTGATCCCGAAAATAAGGAGCTTGTAAATGCGTTCAGGTCTTCATAATATTTTATTTGTTAACACCTGTTGGTATATAGACGCTACACTATGCACAAGTAAATAATATGATAACCCAGTTTTAGGATAATGCCTATTGCTTTTCTCTGTGGCATGGTTTTGAGGCAAACTTATAGCAAATTACAGAAACATGCTTCATAAACTTGTGGAGCATTGTGTAGGAGAGCGCTGATGTGTGATGACTTATGAAAGTAAGAAGAGCTTTAAAATCACCAGATAAGGATGAACCTGAATAGACACAAGTTAATTCTGTCAAACTAAAATTGGAACAGAAGAAAAGAGCGTGTAACTAGTGACATTATAATAGAAAATATTGCATCCTTTGTTCAACAGATGTGATGTCAAGTGATTAATAGATAGATCATGCAATTTACATTGTCAACCTAGCACATAGGAGTCTTTAATCTGCTTGTCAGCTCATGAATGTATCTCATTGTGTATCATCTTTTACAGGGAAGCTGTCGAAGCTGGGAGGCAATTTCATGGCAGAGCTGAAAATAATTCATAGTTGGGCCTTTGCTAATGCCCTGTTGCAGAGAGAAGAGACTAAAACATTGCAGATAGTATATCCTTGTTCATGTAATCCTATTTTTCCCAAAAAAAGTGTTATGTGTTTTCTTTCATGAGGTACAGGCGTACAGTTAGGTAGTAATCTATTTCATTAAAATATAAATAGTAATTAAAATGGTTGAGCTTATGTGACATCTTGGAAATCGTTGAGGCATTAGTACATTTATTAACATGGCAATGGGAACAATTGCATATCATCAAATTTCAATCACCAGTTTTAATTTTGGTGACTCTGAATGATTTCACGGGTATTTCTTTGAGATTGTTGTAATTATAGACAGTTAATGCTAGTTCTGCTACTGTTTAATTTTAAAGAGAGAATCCTTCTATACTCTTTGTTTTTATGAGAGTATCAATATTAGTGGCTAATATATACTTACGGATCAAATTCAATTGAAATATAAATATAAAAATAACTTAATGTATTCTATATTTCAAATAAATAAGATAGAACTTCTTGAAACCACCTCAAAAATATGTCTGAATGAAAAAGAAAAATAACTATTAAGACAAGTAAATCTCCCTAATTTTATTTGATTTTTGACTATTTCGCTTAATGACACATTTGGTGGAGGTTAAACTTAAATTACTTTTTGAGTAAATTTTGTATCTTTTTAAAATTGGAGATGAAAATTTCAAAATCAGTTTGTTTGTTTTTTTGTTAAATCAAAAATTCAGTTTCTTTTCTTTTCTCGTAACAACAATTCAAGATTCAAAAGGGCAGTCTGTGTTCAAGTTATTATTAACATAATGTATAATTTGTTGAAATTTCTAAAGCGTTATGACTCGCTCTTTCCTGCTTTCCTAATTCTGGGTTTGGTTTTGTCTACAAAAAAGCGTTGTCATTAACCAGAGTGTATAATTTGTCATAATTTCTAAGCGTTGCATCTGATTCCTTTATTAATAGATTAGAAGAAAACTTAGTCCATTATTGATAAGAAGCTGCCTACTGCAAACAATTAGTAATAGAATAGGTAATATCAAATTTATTATTGCTAATTCGAATTCGAGTTTGGTAGGATTATATAAACGACAAAATTTTCTTTGTTAAGTTTTAACACAATTATATACCCAAGACTCAAATTTGAAAATACTGATTAAGTTAAAACAACTCATCGCCAGTTAACCCAACCCAGGTAATAATTATGCCACATTGGTAATTGCGTGAGATCCCCTAAATGACCGCAGTGCCCACAACAGAAAGTAGTGTACGCCCTGCGAAGGGTTTCAATTTCCATCTAATAAACAAATGATGGAGAGAAGCAAGAAGCCAAATGAAGGCAAAAGGGAGAAGGGAACAAATGAAAAGCAAGATACCAAAAATAAATTAAAAGAGACCACTGAAAAAAAAAAAAAAATCCAATGGTACCGTACAAAAAACCTTGAAACCAACAAGAAGAAAGCTATTAATCCTCCTCAAGATTGATGGATTCCTTAAACTTCCCGTACAAAATTTTCTTAAGTTCAGCCATCTGAGCAAGCACAGATTCTTTCTCCTCTAAAAGCTTTTCCAATTTCTGGCTTGTCACCTCTTTCATTTGTTCTATCCTGTTCTCAACTTCATCCTTTGGCACATGAGCAAAAACCTCCCCTATTTGAAATCGAACTTCCTCTTCATCTGTGAGAATCAACTCATTGCTTGCATCCTCCAAATTATCATTTGTTTCCTAAAAAAAAAAGTTGAATTTTAATCATAACACCAGATAAAACATGCCTACAATGCACTTGCCACTGCAGTAGGCTTGTATGCCATTGAAATTAGATAACATGCTGAGACTTGCAAATCAGATATTTCACTAATGACTTAATCTCGTTAAGCCAAAGAGAGAATCCAAAAGACAGATGAATAATAAACTCTAATCATATGTATAATACATGTCGGATAAGACGTTCGTTTTTTATTTATTGTTTTTAAAAGAAAAGGCTTGTGCATAATGCTTACACAAACCAAATTAGAAAGGGCATAATCGATCAAATCATAATAGCTCAACTGGTGCATGGAAGCTGAGCAGACGGAGGTAAGAGTATGTGTTCCCATTTTTGAAGGAACTTAAAACTTTAATCCTGAACTCATCCCAAATAAAATATCCTCACGTGGAGGATATCTGTGGTTTATGAAAAAAAAAAAAAGAGCATAATCAACAAGCCCACATGATAAATTTTGGTGGTTGTAATCATAGGACTTGGTCAAGCACTCGAATAAAATCTGATTGGCTTTTCCCCTTGACTGTTCTATTTTCCCTTTCTCCCTCTTCATCCAATCTATTAAGTAGCGCAGGTTCCATCTATTTCTCAAAATTACATGTTACATAAAAGTCCTTTTGTCAATTGCTAGTGTTTGAGGAGTTGGCAAAATTGTTAAACTTTACCAAATCAATTGCTTCATTCCTGAAACAATTTATCCCTAATGCTGAAGCAATTAAGTGTCTTGAAGACCTATCCTCCAAGGACAGTATTATCACACAGTCAGATCATGCTAAAGAGAACAATTCACAAGATCCTGCATCAACATAATAAGTATAGAAATTGACAACATTCTTAGCGAAACACAAATAAATGATAATGATTTAGACGCACGTGGATAATTTAGCTGCATTGCATAAACACATAATCTTTTATATATTACCTTAGCGATTTTGATGTCATCTTCAAGATCGCGAAAGCGATTATTCAACCTTCCGAATTTGTTGATATTCTGTTGATCCTCCCATGTTACATCCGCATCAGATCCTTCGCCCTTTTCGGATCATAATCAGAATTCACAACAAAGAACAAGAACATCCATTAAATTAGGGTTTTTCTTAGATTACCTGCTGCATTCTTCTATTTTGATTCAATCAGGGCTTTTTGATGGAGCTACCTTCAGCTACACAGGTCACCTTCACTCTTCTTACTTTCGGAGCTAACTCCCTCAACACAATTTTTAAATGAAAAAAATATTAAGATGTAATTTATTTATTTTTTTCTTTATCATATATTTGTAACAACTTTTGTATTAAATAACTACCTCTCTAAAATCAAAGATGACAGATTTAGGTAGTGTTTGTTTCAAGTTTTCTGAAAATATACCTAGCATTCTTCATTGGGTTTCAATGTTGTCCTCATTTGGTACAAATTTGGTACAAGTATTTTAAGATTTTTCCCATCAATCGGTGTTGCCTAGAAATCATGATTTATGTGAAAAAAGCAAAGAGGAACACTGTGCAAGTTTACCATTGCAATGTGGTATTTCAAAATAAAACTGGGTAAATGAGGAAAGTGGACATGCAAAATGACAATATTATCCTTCTGATTAGAGTATATGTGTGCACAAAATTTAATTATAAGGTTATTTTCGTCATTTGATTTTATTTTTCCATCAATATTTTAACTTCAACAAATACAGACTCACAAAATTTAATCCAATTTTTTTGGTAATATTTCGATCAACCAAACTATTTTTTTTTAACTTTCCTACTACACTCATTTTTCAACCATATTCTTAGTAAATGTATTTACCTAGTAAAAAAATATATATCTTTTACCAAACACCCCCCTAGCTTTTACACATGTACATATTTTTTCTTTTCTATGAACATTTTTTCCACATGGATTGTTATAAGACTAGTTGTTTATATATATATATATCATGATTAAAAAAACTTTCTAAACAATTGTCTTTTTTAAACTTTGATAATTTTCTCAAAAGTGTGGGTTGATGCTTAAATAATTAGTTTTATAACCATACCTATAAAGACAACAATTTTTCATTCTTAACTTTTAAATTATCAACGGAAAATAAATAACAATTAAGATATAGGAAAACTATAGGTTTACATAGCTAACTCACTAGCGCTCGCGTAACTATCTTGATTCTTAAGAAGGGAAATATATCATTGTGTCAATAAGTAATATTCTAATAATAACATCAAATAAAAGCATATGGTGCATAATTGGAGGGCACACATTTTCAAGTTCTGAGAAACAAATAAAAAGGATACATATTATATTAGTATGGAAGAAATTAAATGAACAAATGTCTCTGAGAGAATGTTATCAAATAGTTGAATATCTATGTGAAGAAATGGAAGCAAAATAATATAACAAGGGTAGTAGTGTGTGGACTATCTCAATCAGGCAAGGCCCTTCGACAATATGATAAAACCATCACAAAGTCCTTGGCCGAGGAGCCCACAGATGCCGGCATTTTTTTAGAGGTTGAAGCTGTGCGGAACCACAGATCTACTAAGTTATGCAGTTGCAAAGATGGAAGCACGGGTTGACCCCGGCACATTATTTCCACCTGTAGAAAACAGTATCAAACCATGCCATGCCACCAATAGTGAACCAGCAAATATAATTATTGTTTCAATTAGAATGAAACAGTGAGGTTAGTACTTTGTAGACAATTTTTTCAAAACAAAAGATAAATAAATAATCAAATAACAAGCCTGCAAATTATAATGTAATTGAACCATTGACTCCATTAACAGAGTTGGGCATCGGCTAGGGGGAGCCCAAAATAAAGGAGACTATCAAATGAGTCTATGCAACAAACTCATAATAAAGGAGTCCAACATCATATCATTGGGTTTATGGGTTTTTTTTACTTATATGTACTATGTTTAGTTCATTCCTTTCTGATGTGGTCTTTTTTTATCACTCGTACTTGAATTCCCAACAACTAGATCATCAACCAACAGTTGGGGCACTCAATTGGCTGTGCTGCATACTTGTACATTTGTACTAATTTGCTGTTTTTAACATGCCCTAAATTCTAGCTTTCAAAGTAGCCCTAATTTCTTATAATAGCCGCAGACAAAGTCAAAAGACTTGCTCTACGTTGCTTGCCCTCCTGGAGCAATGTTTTAGTCAGATAATAACACAATATTCATATAGCAAATTTAGAACCAAGCACTCTTACTATAATTACAACCTTCAACCAAGAAAACAAATGTAGAGAAATAAAGAAAAAAAGTAGAAAACATGATAAAAAAGAGGGGGAGGGGTGAGTATGGCAAACGTTCTTAGTTGTAAGAATGGCCTCACCTCTACTTCGCTGGCAAGATTAAGTTTCTTCACAAGGTACTTTCGAATAAATGAGACAGGAACAGTACCATCCCTGGGATGAGATTAGAAACAAGTAGTTATACATACCTAGGTACTATCCCAATTGATTATTAATAAATTCATAATAGATTCAAAAAGTTTAGATGAGAAAGGAAAAAGTAAAAAAAAATGCAGGAAACAACCAACACATTTCAAATAATTCAGTATGGCAGCTAAGTTCTCCTTTGCTAAAACTGTGACTTAGACAATGATCACGAATCTGCCCATATGGAATAACACATCAAAGCCAAATCAAGGAGTGACTCTATCAAAACGCCATCTATAAGGAAGACCGTGTGCTCATCAAATACATCACAAATGTTATAGACAAAAAACAATATTAAGTGCAAAACATATTTCACCCCTAGTGATGCCGACAGCCTCAAGTTCTTAATAGAAACCATTTGAACTATAGATTTTCTAAGGTAACAGTAGGGTAAAAGCTTAAACACGTTTGTACCCGGAAAAAAAAAAAAAAATCTTAAACACGTCAGAGATAACATACAATCATCAAAGACATATTTCTAGATAATCCCGTAAGTACACAGATAAGATGAACTTGTCAGAGATAAATAATACAGAACATTTTAAAAGATGAAACTACAACAGAACGGCTCCAACTCCTTCTGAAGTACCTCTCCGCTGACTAATTCAAATAAGGACAAAAAGAAACAATATAAAAGAGTTTCATTCATTCAGCACAAATTAAGTATTTAAAGGTTTTAAAATCATTTAGTGATTGCCAACAGCATCAATCATGCAGTGAAATAATAACCTAAAATAGAAACGAGTACAATGATGGAGAACAAGGTGAAAAAATAATTACAATAGAGATAATAAAATTAATGAGAAAAGGAAACAAAATGAGTCAGTTATTGTAGTTTCTATGGCATGTCTGAGAAAAGGAAGACATATATAAATTCAAGCTGTTTAAAAAGTTTAAATTTCCTTTACATCCATTAAACTACAACTATAACTATATCTATATACAAAACTACTTTTCTCTGAAGCTGTGGCTCTTCTCAACAAATTGCTCCAAAATTTAAGTTTCAAGTAACTCAGATTATTTTTTACCCATATGCTACCAGAACAATAGATTTCTTAGAATGCCACATGGAAGCGATTGCCACCATTACAGAGGTCATTTACATCAGAGAGGGTTGGGAATCCCCTCTATACAGAAAAGCAATTTGTTTATGATACCACAAATTATGGGGAAACATAAATATTATGCTCAGGAGGCAGGGTGCATTATATCCCACTTCTATAAACATAAACCTAATAGGTAGTAATGTTGCACATGAAGTTAACATCTCTTCAAATGCTACAGAGAACTGACAATCTTCTAGATGTCTAAACTAACAACTCAAGAAACACAAGTAAACTTAGAGAAAAAAGGCCATAATAACCAATTATGTTGGAGAGAAAGGAAAAAAAAAGGTTGAAAAGTGAATGGGTAACTAACTATACATTCATACCATTTAGCACTTTTCTATTTAAAAAGGAAAATTTCTTATCTGAGAGGCACATATCTTTCATGCAGTCTTTTTAATTTCCCTCCTGGATTTCTCTTTGAAATTTAGATTTTAGCCAAGCTAAAGTGAAACTGGACTTTAATTAGACCTACAGACTTCAAAATACCTTTTATTAAATTATAAATAACCATACAAAACCATATTTTTGTATCTTCTTAAATTTTATTGACATTTAGCCCAATTTTGAGACCAAAAAAATGGGAGAGGGGGGATTCCATCGTGCCAATTCACAGGCCAAAGTTATACTTGCAAAAAAGGTCAAGCAAAAACTTGGGGGGATGGGGGGGTTTGAAGCAGAAAGATAATGGGAGTTGAAAGAATTACTTTATTCTTAAATAACATGCTGAGATCTGTGGCAAGGGAACATCTCCTTTCCTGAGCAATAACATCAATCCAAAGCTTTAGGGTCCACAGAAGGTAAACATTTTATAATTTATAAGATCTCTTCATGTAAAAAAAAGTAACTTACTGGTCTTCGGAAGCAACTAATGAAAACCAAATAGGACAGTTTTTCCTGTTGCACTTGCCCCCTGTTGCATCTAACATGACTTGGGTTGAGGCAGACATCTCAGATCCTGCTGCTCTTTTCTGACTAGCAGGACGTAGCCTTCTTCGCTTCACTGGCCCTGAAGGAAATGTGTTTCCATCCTTGTTATCTCCAAACTTTGTTTTATGTCCATTATCCTTGTTTTTGGTTTTAGGCATGTGTAATTCCCTCTGGACAGAAGCAGGTGGCTCTGATTTGGTTGTAATTTCAGGAATCTCTACTCCCCCATGAGGAGTAGTTGGAGACTCTAATTTGGCATGAGGAGTCCCTTGTGAATTTGACCTGGACGACTTTGTTCTGTTGGCTGCTTCAACAAGACAGTTCAAGGGCGTCCAGAGATCAGCCTTCCCTTCTGTAAGGTCCATACTGTTCTCTGTATCTTCATTGGGCCTATGCTTCTTAGAAGACTCAGCTATGGAAGAATCCTACAAGAACATAATGATCATGCATGAAAATTATCACATGAAATAGAGTCATAAATAATAATTTCCTAGGACTCCATGAAGCAACAAGTTAAAGACCAACCACAAACAGAAAAGTCCTGGGGTCCCATATATATCCCACACCTGACTTTCATTTTGAGCAATCATATGAACTGAAGCAGAGACTGAACTTACCAGAATATCTTCACCATTTGTTTCACCATTTGTTTCTTCCTTCTTTATGGATTCTTCAAGAATAAAATTGCATGCACGTAAAGCAGCAGCCTTTCTAGTACCAGTTTTTGTTCTCTTTCCTGTAAAGCCAGTCTGCGTTGAAACTTTGGGAGCACTTACTACCAATGATGAAAGTGATCTTTCCTTCCTTTTCGCTGGCAGGGATATTGAAGGAACAACTTCTTGGGCTTTGATCTTTCTTCGTTTAAAAGGGAATATTTTGGCTCTAATATCTTGCAAATTGTGGTCTGGCCTGCAGATAATTAATAGGAACACATGATGACTAGGCATCTGATTTTTAAGTTCCATAAAAAAATTTATGCATGCGATCATTTAAGAAAAAGTCATTCAAGTTTAAAAGACAGGTTCAACTAAAAAGGGGGTCTAATATGCTTGAAAATGAGGAAGATGTCATTAGCGGGAATTTCACATTGACTACTGCATAAACACCAGTCTTCACTCTTAACCAAAGATCATTTGTGGCAGATGAAATGCTCCATTTATTTCTTAATGAAGATATGTCCGAACCAGATGGAAATGCACATGTAAGATGCAATTTCAATAAAATGCTAAGCTGTGGGGAACTTTTACAATTTAGGCGGAGGAATGCCTCATAAAATAAAGCAGAGAATATTTGATAAATCAAAAGTCCAAATGGTTATGTTTGGTCAACAGTTACAATTATATCTTGCAATGTTTAAAACACATGCAGCAAATAGCACTTTATGATTTGTGAGAAAGTATTAAAAAATATCATTTCTAAAAATGGGGAAAAAGCAGATATCCTACTAAAAGAAAGAAATTTAACTAAAAAATACAGAAATATTTAATACAATAAACAAATGAAAGAGACTTAACGCCTTAAAATTTAGTGTCAACTTAGGAAAATTGCACAGCAAGAGTAATAAGTTTTAGAATAAGAAAGAAAAAGGTAGAGATTGATCATATGCATAGCTAAATCTGTAATGCATGTACTCTTGTACAAACAAAAGATAGATGCTAAGAGAGAACGATGTAGAAGAAGAAGAAGCACAACTGAACAAACAGATATTAACATGTCTACAGCCAGGCATTACAGCAGCATGTTTGTTTAGTTCAATTCAAAAAAGTCACAAGCCACACAAATTACTATACTAAATTAGCAATCAAAGACAAAAATGAACCTGAGTTTTTCCACGGGAAGGCAACCCAGATCAATATTGCAAACTGGACAGCAATCCATCTCCTCATCTGAAAGTTTCTCATATATGCACTTCCTGCAAACTGGTGCACGGTTCATTGTTCAAAGTATTGCTCAAAAAGATATTCGAAGTGGTCAAAATTAGATCTCAGAAGATGTTCTGAAGGTGTATGCGCATAATTCAATAATGCCATAAATATAATGTGCTGTTGGAATTGTAAAATCAACGTATCATGAAATTCCATTGCATCCATGCTTATCAACAAGATTATCTGAATGTACTTAACAGTCAAATGACCCAGAAAGAGGGTTTTGTTCTGCTGGCATTTGAGCATAACTTCATAAGAGATTATCCCAAGTAAAAGTAAAGATGGGGATGACAATAATGATATCACCAATGCTTCGTATCTAGAAGGGAAAATAACCGAGAAATTGAAAGAAGACAGAACTTACACAATTAAGACGATTTCATTCCTGACCAGTCAAACCATAGAATTCCATACAACCAGTAAAGCACAGAAATAAAAATGATAATTTGATGTATGGGGTCAGTTAATGTTTAACGTTATTGTTCGATCACCGTAACATAGCTACTGTTTAACGTTCATGCTATACATAAGTAAATAATGAAGAGTAAATAATAGTTATAAATATAATTAAGACCAGGAGGACCCCAGGATCATGAATGAATAGAGTGAATGGATGTTAACCCAAATAATGAAAGCTATGATAATTGAATAATAATTACGGAAAGATAAACAAGAAGGATTAAGTATAAGAAGGAATGCTGCGTTGGTGCGACGTTGAAAATTCGAAAGAGAAAAGGCATAATACAGAAACACCCAACAGGCAATACGAATCAGAAGAGAAATAAAATCAAATTGGGAAGGGAAGGGGAATCAATCGGGGTTGCTATACGCAAAGCATGAAATGAAGAAACCCAGATCGAAAGAAGAAAGAGTTGAGAGACGAACACGTGTGAAGACAGAGAGATATGGTGGTAGCATCTTTCAATAGCTTATGGCAAAGAGGGCATGTCATGCATGCTTCCAGCGTTTGCCTCTTCACTTTCACCACCATCTCCTTCACATTCGTTTTGATGCCAATGGACGTGGAACAGCTACGGATCTGACCAAATCCTGAGACTGGGTTCGGATTGTTATTACCACGTTAAATTTTGAGGTACGATACGAAGGTGAAGAGAAGAGAAGAAAGAAAGAGCATAACGCTACTCCCACTTCTTAAGAAACCAACGCCTTTTTGTGCTGTGCGTGTTGTGATGTGTTGTGTCGTATGTTTTATATCCGCGACAACACTGAGTTCGAGTTCGATTGTTACTATTTTACTGCACACTGACTTTGCACCAACTGTGTGTTCCCTTTGCGGCTATTGCTATGGGCATTCGACAACTGTTCTGCTAAATCCTCCACCACGTTTTTCACTCTTTATCCTCCTTTTTCTTACCGCTTTGCAATCACGCTCTCTCTCTTTTTTACCCAAAACAACACCTACATCGTCACTCCTATAACAATATTAGAAAAAGACTTCAATTTTTCCTAGTTTTGACCGTGTCTCTATTATATTATAGCGTTTTATGATTTATGTGATAGGAAATAAAAATATTATCTCGTATATTTTTATGTGAATATAAAAAATATTAAACTCTATATTATAGAAAAATATTATATTTATAAACTTTTTGTTTACAAATTCTTACAACTTACACTAAGTATGATCGGTCATACTTCAATCAAGAATGTATGATCGGTCATGTTTAGTGTAATTTGTAAAAAAAAATTGTAAATGAATCGTTCCACTATATTATATATATGAAATCAATGTGGCAAACATAGCTAGCGAGTTGTTTTGCAAGAGAAATGAAAATATGGTTGCACAACTAGTTTGGTTAAAACAGTCAGGTAATGTTTATTGCTCATTTAATATTGATTGGTGAGGATAGGAATGGTGAAATACTCGTGTGTTTTCAAAATGAGAACTGTTACAAATAAAAATAAAAATAAAACTCACAAACTAATTATTTTTAACTACATTCATGAGCAGAGTTCTAATATTTACACATATTTCGTGTCATTTAACCGCTTGTTAAACTGTTTTAACCACTTGCTGACAAACCTGCATGATTTGGCTACATATACGAATCTCCTACACTTACGGTAGTTGGTTTATAACTAAATTTGTGCATCAATACCTGAAAGCTATGTGGTAATTAGTGGATTCCAAGTAAAGAGTTACCGTCCTATCTTCCTTGACGAAGGAGTAAAATCCATTTATTTTTAAAATTTCCTTGTTGTTTATCTATAATTGGATCAATGTATAAGGGCGGCTACTTCTATTGGCACTTCTTCGAAGGGTTATTCAGTTCATTTGGACACGTCTCTTAAATTTATTTTATGATTCATATTAGAATATCACAGATGAATTACAATTAAATTCTCCTATCATATCTATGCACTTTTTAGACCCCTGCGAATCCATCCTTCCATTGAGCAATTGCACCAACATTGTTTAGCTTGAGGTCAAAGGATACACGTGCATTTGCGATCGACATTTAGCTGCTCTGTCTTTCTGTTATTGATGCCATCCCGATGGAGCTAATGTAATTACAGGCGACGCGTTCTACTTGTGAAGTTTGATGATTGTTAATTGACCATTCTCCATAGCAGCTAGCTACATGAAAATATGAATGTGACAAAGATGTGACAACATCATATTTTCAAGTACATAGAAAGCTTCGAAAAAGTGTACTCATATCTTTCTTGTATTTAGTCATTTTTTATCCAATTTGCTTCTGTGTTCAATCTGATCATATCCTTCATTCGATATAAATTATATACAGCAACATAGCAAGAAATTGATTACCAACGAACAAGCATACTATTACTGATAATAATTATACTGCTATGATACACCGTGTTATGGTCATATAATCGGCTCCTCTGTATTCAGGACAACGTTAGAAGGTTGAACCAAACTGTACCATGAGATGTAACAGGTCCAACATAATAAACCCGTCTTGACAAAACAATTTTATTTGCTATTATTATTTTGTGATCGTTTAGATTACTAATTACTATTATTGTTCATTCACCATTTTCATTCTCCAATCATTGTCGACATCTTCTGATCACTGTTATCATGGCATCTTTCCATTACCGTCGTCACAGCCTCACAGGCATTATCTGATCACCGTCATTGCCAGCACTTCCTTTGATCTCTGCTATTGTTTTCTTATCACTCTCGTTACCAGCATCCTCGGATCACTGTTATCACTAGCATTATCTGGTTACCTTCGTAATAGCTGTTGTCCTTTGATCTTTGTCGTTGTTAATGTTTTCTAACTATTGTACTAGTGCACTCCTACCACGCTTGCAATCACATTTGTTTAGCTTCCGTTATCATGAGCGATAATTTATATTAGGGATATATTTTTCTTATGTTGTAGGAAAAAAACTACCTCATGTTGTAGAAACAAAAGTATAAGTGAAAAAAGAAAAAAGAGTGGTGGGATCCAATCCATTTTTGTGTGTGTAGGAGAGTTATTTATCTCATGTAAAATAAGATAAACATAACCCTTTATATTATTATTATAAAAAGACAATGGCAGTTTTGGTTGGATGATCCCACTAAAAATACAAAAATACCAACCTAATAAAATTACATAATTTATTGCCAATTTTTTAGTTGAAATGTCAATTTTTTTGCTTCCGGGGACAATGGTCTAATATAACAGCCTTAAGACCCTATATTTTGTTTGTAAGATCAATTTTTTATTGTTTATCTTCATGCCTTCTGGTGTTATAATTGCATTTTCTTTGATTTCTTCAGAATCTTATTTTCTCATTTAGCTGTTATTTAGCAGGAGACACAATAAATTAATTAATGTGTTATTTGTCTTTAGCATTTGGTCCCAACTAATAATTGATAATTATTACTGACCTTTTTTCTTTGCCAACAAAGTCAAAACTTAAATATTCTTCTCGTGAGTTCTGACATGACAATCTGTACAAATTTTTAATGATTATAAAAAGAAAATTAGATAATCAATCAATATAAAATAAAATTCTAAACAAATTTGATAGGTAGAGTGAATATATACATTACTAACTGAACTCTTCTTTGTGTACAATGAAAAAGTCAGCTTTCCACATTAATTGGAGAGGGTAGCAGACCAAGAACAAAACATGTCATATATGCTAGCAGGTTGAATATGGTAAATAATAGTTATCTCTAATTGGGTGCAATGAACGGGTGAAACACTTTTTTTATGAATAGCATCGCTTGTCTTTCACTTTTTAAAAGCACTTTCAAAATTTTGTCTTCACAAACTATGTTGCATATCATATAGTAGAACATATTTTCATATTTTAAAGGGGAACGGGGCCCCACCTTAGCCCCTATGTAGGTCTGCCCCTGCATGAGAGACATATTCTTATAATAACTACTGAAGATTTAATCCGACAATTCAAGCTCTACTAAAAATTATTTATAATAATTTAAACTATTATTTATTTATTAATTTAATTTTAATTGTTAGATATTTTTTTATGAAACATCTAAACAATAGTTTAATACAATTCAGAATTGTAATTTTATAATGTCATCAATTTCAATTAAGATAGAACTGGTATCTAATTATAATTCTATTTTGTCGTCCAAATAGGTCATAAGAAATTTTACCATTTTTACAATAATGAACTCTCTTTTTTTTCTTTTTCTTTTTTAATAATTACTGGTTCTAAAAGCCCAAAACTACTAAACCAAACGAGAAAGGAAAAAACCCTCGTAACCTCTTTAAGAAGGGAATAAGAGATAGGGAATGAGTTTCTAAACTTGATAACCCAGAGACCCACCCTGATCAAAATTAGCAAGATGGTCTACAACCTGATACCTTTCATATATGGAAAAAGAAGTATTCTTGTTTCCTTTTTAGACGATTTAGAAAAAAATTTACTGATAAAACTTTGTGTAAATCTAAAAAGTTATTTTTTTTTTTGTCTTCAGTCACATCGTTAACATGTAAAGTAAAAAAAAAAAAAAACCTTTTTAGATTTACACAAAATCTTACCGATTAGACTTTGTGTAAACCATTAAAATGACACAATTTATATCTTTTTAAAGTACATTGACTGAATCCTTCGTATATAGGCATTATATTTAATAGAATAAACTTTAATTTAATATATAAGAATATAATATATATTGTACTTTTTTTTGCCCCTTTCTTTCGAGATAATTTATTGTGAACCAAGACCACCATTTTTTAAGTGGTCCCTTAGTGTAAGTAAGAAGGTAAAATTAAAAAAGAAGAAAAATAAGTAAAAAGAAAAAGAAAAAATTGATGATGTGAGAAGGAGCACCAAAAAATTCAGTGATCCTGGACCATATTAAATATTTCCCTTTCTTTCATTCCCTATTTAGTACAGACCGCTTGTAATTGTTGATTTGTTGTTAAGATGGAAAATTGTTATAGGATTGTTTCTGTCCCCAAAATTTTCGAAACCACATGCGGCTTGGACATAGTTTCAGTTCAGCAGCCCCTCCATCATAAATTTCATTGACCTCTTCCACTTTGTACTTTGTATATTAGCATATGTGTCCGTATTATTACTGGATGATATTTGATATGTATGTCCGGATCCGAGTTTGTCTCGGACGATCTTGCCCCAGTAGTTCTACGATCTCTAATGCAACGTAAGTTGGGTACTTGTAAGCCTTTATTTGTATTCGACACATATATGCTGACCAGCACGGCACGTATATGAGTGGTAATGGATTAGGACATGTAAGTTACGTGTCAACCGTAGTTTTAATGGCGAGGCAAGAAATTTTGTGTGGGTGTATCGTATATTTTTTTATTATAATTATTATAGGTGTAACGTATAGATAGATATCATATTCATAAAATACAATTCACTTTCAAAATGTCTTGGTGGTGAAATGCTAGACACGCGAGACTCAAAATCTCGTGCTACAGAGCGTGGAGGTTTGAGTCCTCTTCAAGGCATAATATTGTGATCCGTTATTGAATTGAAATAAATTCGGCAGCAGATCACGAAATGTTGGTGATCTTCTCTATCTAATAAATGAGAAGTCCGTTTTGAAATCATCTGCCCTGCACCCACCCCCCGAGTATACGCTTCAACAGGAATCACACAGGGGTAGATTAGAAACCTCTGGTAAAATGCCCACCTACTCATAACCCAGCGGATAAAGTACATTACATAGTCCGTTTTAGGGATTGGCGACTTACCCATTCAATGACTTTGGCACCGGACGTTTCCAAAATCAAATGGGTACTGTACTCTCGGGTCGAGGGAATTCAATAATAGACACCTGTTAGCATTCCAACCTTCCTTCTCCTTTCAGGGCCTATCCGAAAAGAAAGAGAATTCAGTACTTCTTGGTCGTGAATATCTGAATAGGACAAACCGCCCCGTGGATCTCTTTGCTTCGGAACAAAACAATTCGAATTAGGCTCGGTCAACTGGAATGTGTATTATCGATATAGGGGATCTTTCAATTGAGAAGATCGATCGACCTGAGACGAAGAGAAAGAAAGGTCTATCTATTTTATTTAGTTATTCAGTTAAACCAATTATTCGTTATTGGAGCAGATAGCAACAACCATCTCATCCGGGAAAAGCCATCTTTTTATCAACAATGTCTTTGTCATTTGATCCAATAGCGTTCCGTTAGATAGGAACATATTTGATAAATATTGATAACTCTCGGATAGAGTATTAGAAAGGCAAAATCCATTAGATAATGAACTATTGGTTCTAAGCCATCTCTGGCGATGAATCGACAATTCGAAATGCTTTTCTTGCGTATTCTTGATAAGGCGGACATTATTTATAGAATAAAAAATAATAATATTTTAAAGACATGTGAGATTTTTGTCAATAGAAAAATTACGTTAGTGTTTGGACCATGTTAATTTGATGCTTCATTGAGCCTCACACGTGTTATAGTTCAAGATGAGAAATTTAATATGGTTTGGGACTTTGGTGATCGACTTAGAGTATGTTACTTGCATCAAATTTTTATTTTTCTTTTCTTTTCTTTTCTCTTTCCTCAGTCTTTTTTCTCTTTTTTTCTCTTTCTTTCTCCTCGCTTCCACCAATTCAAAAGTGCTATGGGAGCACTAAATTCCTGCTCCGTCCAGGATGCTTTTGTTGGGTTTGGTCAGGGTCCCCACTTAAAACAAAGGGGAGGTAAACAAATCAAATCATGGACCATTTAGGAGCCTTTTGACCCGGCTCGTGAAGGTCTAAGTATATATGTCTAAGATTGATTATTAGAATCAAGTTTGGACTTGTATAAAAGCTTGTTTAATAAAAAGGTCTCAGACTACAATTCAAAAGTACGGCCTTAGAGCTTCTTAGGCTAATCTATTATACTAACTTTTAATTTTATTTTATATTTTTTATATTACTCATAATAGATCTCTCTCTCCTCAACCCATTTCAACTCATTTTATTGATTATACAGAATTTTTGAATAATTTTGTTTTATATTATGTTGTTTGGATATCTCTAGATTTAAGAATCTTTGAGGAATTATTAGTGATGTTGATCGTATATTTTATTTGTATAAATTTTTATTGTCTTGTATTTTTTTAATGGGTTAACATGTTAAACTAGGTTTTTATTTTTTTGTAAATAAGTCAGGTCATAAGCCAATAATTATATTCATAATAGGTAATAGACTAGGCAAGAATGATATATTTAAACACAAACTAAATTTTTTAAGATCAAAGTCAGGTCCACCCGTTAACCCCCTAAGAATATCTTATAGTATAAAATAAAATTACCTTATAGTATAAAACTAAATTGAAATTATTTTGAATAGTTATTTTAATAGTTTTATATTAAAAATGACTGGTGAACTCTATTAATACAAACAGTAAGTATTTATTAAATATAATTATAATTATCAAATTAGTTAAATATATATAATACAAAAATGATCAATAAAATCATTAAACATCTCGTCCAAGCTATCAGATAAGACAATAGACTTTGTTATCAAATTAATGCATCAGTGTATAATTACGTAAGAAGGGCGCTCCTTCTTCGAGGGGTTATTTATTCCAGTCAAACACGTCTTGTTTACTTTTAGGAGATATTTGGTTGAGAAGAAAATTTTTGAATACTAGATAAATGTAATTAGTAGAGAAATGGTTGAAAAGTAAGTTTGGTAGAAAAATGTTAAAAAAGTTGTTTGGTTGGAAAAAAATTTACCGGGAAAATTAGATAAATTTTATAAAGTTTATGTTTGATTTGAGGTAAAATATAGATGGAGAAATAAGTAGCAATTACGAAAATATTCCTGTTTTTAAAAAAATTTGAATCACCTACCATTTACCTTTACGAAAATAAGTAGCAATTAGCAAAAGGTGAGGATATGTTCGTCATCTAACTTTTCACCCATTTCTCCATTTAGGTAAACAACCTCCAATATCACATTTGAATTGAGAATCGGTTGCCTTGCATTTGAGTCCAATAGATATGCAAAGTAGATGGCTGAGGGAGTGATTTTCGCTAGCCAAATATTCCAAACTCGTCAACTAAACACGGTCAATGAAAAATCTCACTTCTCCAATGTCTATCTATCTCATGAGATAACTCCAACCAAACGTCCCTTGAGACTCGTATTACAAAGAACAAATTGAATAGATTGGAAAAGAATATGAATTTGATTCTTACTGAATATATTTTTAAAGATGGTTAAAAAAGTTAATTTTAATTGTGATTAAATCTTAATTTAAAATTAGTTCTATATTTTCAAAGAGTGACTTAACTCAAAAAAATAATTAGAGTCTGTATACAAAAAATTGCACTTGAATTACAATTTAACTTTTATCGTATTTATGTGCCTTTTATGCCCAGCGAAACCCCCCCCCCCCCCCCCCCCAATCCATTGAGTAATTACAAGAACATTGTTTCGCATAAGATCAAAGGATACACATGCATATACGAGATTTGACTACCCTGACTTTCTGTAATTAATGCCATCACCATGGAGCAAATATTACAAAAGCACTTTCTGTTAGTGAATTGATTCTTTTTTATATGTGTGTATGCTCAAACATTTTAGGAGCACAACAAAAAGAAACAAAACAGGCAACTATTTCAGCAATTATGTCATCTATAAGACTTTTGATAAAATAAAAATGTTGTACGATAACTAACCCTTCGAATCCAGAATAACTAACTGGCATTACTTTATTATTATTCAGCAATAAAGCATTTTATATGGTGCTTTGTTTTATTTCTCTTATTATATAACCAGCGGCGCTAGCTATGAATCCTGCTAGCTAACCCTTACATACAAGACAAGTAATTTAGTCACCGCAGTCAACAAAGTCATAGTTAACGGTAAGATGGCCTTGAGCATTCCCATTCCCGTCCGTGTCCAGCTTTTGGAACACACCGATATCCAAGTCAAGGCCCCCGTTGCTGCACTGATCAACAATTCTCACTGTTTCCTGAGTGTTTGTTCGAGTGTTTGTGACCTGCAACGTAACACCGGCCCCATCAACAATTTGTGTCATTATATATACATATATATATATATATATATATAGCTTCATCAAGCATATATATATAAGCAAAAATTAATTAGAATATGTATATATGCATGTACATGAGTAGAGTAGTGCAGTGTTTAATTAGAAAGGAAAACGTACCTTCAAGCACTTGCCACAAGCTTGCTGGCCCTGAGGCCCAGAAGGTCCACAGAAGGCTGTCCAACCATATTTGCTGCGCCATGACAAGGGCTTGTCAGCATCCCAAGTTGCACAATATGCACTCACTGCGAGTAAGTCCCAGTTATGCTGCTCTGGTTGGTATAAGTGATAAGTAGCTCTTACATTGGTAGCACTCTGAGCAGAGGCCAAAGCTAGAACACAAACCATGCACACTGCCAACAGAGAAAGCTTTGCCATTATCGTACTTGTTTGTATATATTGCGCTTAATTTAAGCGCTACAGGTACTTGTATTTATAGGGCTTCTCTAGGATGATGAAATTATGCAAATACCCGTCCTTTATTTGAAAAGTATGCAATTTCTATTCTGTTAATTCTCGACTTCTCGGTTAATTACGAGAAGTTATCATTGAGCGAATATTGTCCAAGAATAATATAATAGAAAATAATAAAAACATCTTTAACATTATATTACTACGGGTTTTACAAAAAGTGATTGTGTTATGTTATAGAGATTTATTTTCTGTGCCTTAGTTTTTTTTTTTTGCTTCAAAATATGCGGGTCCCACAAAATATTGTGCGTGTAGGAAATTTTTTTTGTAAAATATTTTTACTACCAATCCATTACCACTTTAATATTATTATATATTTTTAAAATTACATTAAAAATTGTTTTTTCATCTTTTTCAGAACTTTTAAGGGGCCGTTTGGTACAAGAATTTTTTTGGATTATCTGAAAAATTGAATGTGGTAATCTTATTTATCCATGTTTGGTACAAAAATTTTAAAATTTTCCCTAATTTTCGCGAGATTTTATTTTGTGTGTAATTTTTTTTTAAAAAACCATCCAGGAATACCATCCAAGAGGTGGTATTTTAGGATTTCTATGAAAAGGAAAATTTTAATACAACTAAATATAACATCAAGAAAATTAACCCAATATTCCCAAGAATATGTTAGTCTACCAAACAACTTTTTGGTAACATTCCCAAAAAACTCATTTTCTCATCATATTCTTGGAAATCGTGATTTCTGAATAAATAAAAAAATTTACTCTACCAAACGCCCCAATATTGTCCGATGAAAAGTGAAATCCAAGTATCCAACGATAACAGTTAAATTGAAGGGGTTTGCATTTGACATTTAACATGACACAACAAACTTTCGTACACACACAACATTTTGTGGGACCCACATTTTTTGAAGAAAAAAAATTACGGCACGCAAAACGAATCTCTATAACATTACACAACCACTTTTTCTACAACATAACTCTTATAAAATCCTAAATTTAAAAACTTAAAAGTTAAGTGAAAATATTTTATTATTTTATAATATATTATTTTTTAACACAACTAACAAATAATTTAATAAAAATAGAAGCGGTTTAAATAATTTAAATATTATTTTTATTCATGATATAGATAAACAGGACACATGGCTTGAGGTGCAGCCTCACATGTAGCAATTTTTTTTTAGTTGTACCGGTGTGGACCCTTCACAATAAGGTCTACCATCATAGTCGACATTGTGCCAAACATGTTATTTTTAGAAGGAAAATTCAAAGTCTTGAAAAAGATTGCAGTAGTTGAACATTCTACATGATAGATAAGACGAAGATAAAAAAAGAAGCTTCTGATTAATAAGATACAAGTTTATGAAAATATTTTGGACTTTATCATGGTGGATTTTACCGTGCACCACTTAAATTTACCTTCTTTTTTTTTTGGTAAGCACTTAAATTTACCTTTAATTTACACGTTTTGCCTCTTTAAATAAAATAAATTTTCTATTAGTAATTTTGTTTGTATTTATTAACAAACAAATTGTCTTCAATGGATGAGGTAAGCAGTCATAGTGGGAAAAATAAAATTCCATTGAATCTTCTACCAGCGTTGATGGCTTGTTGTATAATCGAATTATAGAGCTGCATACACAAAAAATATTTTTTTTTTTTTTTTTTGATAACAACACAAAAAATATTTTAAACGCAAATTTAGGAGAATATTGATGTCTTTGTAATCTGCCTGGCTCAAATTGAATTGATCGACGGTGAAACGATGGAGAAATATAAAAAAAATGCATATTCAATACTTCAAATAAATTTAATCAGACACTAGATAAAATAAAATTAAAAAAAAAAAAAAAAACAGAAAGAAAATTGCACCTAGTTACTTATTCGAAAGAAAAAAAGATGCGTATTGGATTTTGAAATGAGAAGTCAGACCTATATGTTGGATATAGCCTAACGGAATCAAAGAAATTCGACAAAAATATGACGACGGTCACCATAAGAAATTGAACTTCTTTCAAATATCACGAGTCCTTTATCTAAAGATGTGATTTATGGAAATTTATTATAAATTTGTATGATCACCCCGTAAATTTCGCAACCACATGCGGCTTGATTCGCTTGAACAAAAGTTTCAGCAGCCTTCTATAACAGGGATTTCATTGACCTCTTCCACATTGTAGTTTCTGGCTTCTGAACATTCTAAATTCTGAACGGAGTAGGGTGGCGCAAAAGGTAAAGAAACAAGGAAAATTAGTATCTAGCAAAAACACTAGCTCTTCACGGCAACCACGCCTCCCCAGTGAGTTTTGCATAAAATTATGAAATATTTTGCTAATAAGTTTTTTAAACCGGATAAACTTTAATACATCTTATTTCACTATTTTTATATCGCTTTTTTTATTTATTTCAAAGTTTTCATACATCTAACTCCTCTATGATGTAACCTTTTTATCAAGGTTTTAGTATTGATTCTCTTTTAAAGAGTTACTCATCACCTTGTAAAATTTCACAATATTGAAAATCGACAATCCCACGACACATACAAACCGAAAATGAAAAGAGAAATGTGAGAGAAAAATGACACGGTAATTTATCCTGGTTCAACCAATATAGACTACGTCCAGCTTGTCTGTATTATATTCACTTCACCGCCACTCGTTTTCAAGTCACTTGATTTACAAGAGAATATAATTTGGATTTAGAAAACCCTAATAATAGCAGTTATTCATTGACTCAAGCCCAAACTACTAAGAAAAATAAAATTATAATAAATCAGAGACCCACAGTACCATATCTCTGCAGGCTCCCAATTGTCGTCTTTATGCTGAGCCCGCCAACAAGAGCCCTCTCGTCAATATTTGAAGTATGAATCATACTCAACACCAACACGGAGGAGGTAAATATAATTTATTTTTATTCTGTAATAATCATAATTTAAAAATGGAAATGTTTACTCATCAGGTTGATATCAACTCATGAAATCTGCATGCCTTCCCAAAAAATTGCAAGAGGTCCTGGAATCTACTTATAAAGAATCTTGGAATACACCACCCCAAAAGCTAGCTCAAAGGGTGGGAGTGATCAAGGCCCTATAAAGGCCACATTAGTTGCCTCACACAATCAATGCGAGACTATATATCTCAACACGCCCCCTCACACGAGAGCTCATTGGCTTGAAGCGTGAATTATGCACAGACCCAATTTTTGGTTTACCTTTTTGTGCTTTTTATTTTAATTCCACTTTAAAGTGGGGGCGGTGAGGATCAAACTTGTGACCTTATAGTCACTCAAACGCTGATACCATATAAAGAACCTTGGGATACACCACCCTAAAAGCTAGCTCAAAGGGTTGGAGTGTCAAATGTCTTATAAACTCCACATTACAACCAATGTGGGACTATATATCTCAACACGCCCCCTCACGCAAGAGCACTTTAGGCTATAGAAGGGTAGAAATTACACAGACCCAATTTTTGGTTTACCTTATGTGTTTTTTATTTTAATTCCACTGTAAAGTGGGGGCAATGAGGATCGAACTTGTGACCTTGTAGTCACTCAAGCTCTTATACCATGTAAAGAACCACTTCAACCCAAAACCTTAAGGTGTTGGTGAGGGCCTTTTTAATGATTTATATTATTCTCTAACACACCCCCTCACGCAAGAGCCCTTTGGGCTTCTTTTTAATGATTTATATTATTCTCTAACACACCCCCTCACGCAAGAGCCCTTTGGGCTTGAAGCTTGGATATTGCACAGGCCCAATTTTTGGTTTACTTTTTTTGTGCTTTTTTTTTTTATTTAATTCCACAAGTGGAGGCGGTGAAGATCGAACTCGTGACCTTCACTCAAGTTCTGATACCATGTTAAAGAACCACTTCAACGCAAAACCTTAAGGTGTTGGTGAGTGCCTTTTTAATGATTTATATTATTCTCTAAACTACTACTACAATAAGTCATATTCTCTCTTCCACGTATAAAATAAAATTCATTAACAAGATGGTAAAGAAACGATAATAGGATCTTTATGTACAAGTGATCATATACATGCTTTTGAGAAGTGATTTGGAGCGAAGACCATCATTTGAGAAGTGCTATGTATGCGGATTAATTTTGTTGAAGAAAGATAAATAGTGATAATACCACTATATAAACCTGACAGAAAAGAAAGATAGACACAGTCATGAAGTCCAAAAATAGCAGATTATGAAAATAAGTGTTTCAAGTACCGGTCTAAAGTTTATCATATGACATAAAACTATCACTTATACACATATAAAAGTGTGTGGGACTTGTGGATCTATGTGAGAAGAAGAAAAAAAAATTAGACATCACACAATTTTATATATGTAGAAAATAATTTTATATTATGTTATTATTAGAGTTAATAGTGGGAATCAAATTTAATTGGTTCCCAACTATATAATTAGCTAGCTATATTTGAAATGGAACCCCGAAATGGTAGTAGTGACAATGAATAGTTAATCAATAACTTTTGGTTCAAATATCATGAATTTGTTACCTTTAATTAAAAATTTAAAGAGTCACACTCAATATAAACTCCACAATACTAGAGGTGAATTAAATTAGTTAGGAAACAAGAACTTAATTCAGATTAACTCAATAACGCAATTTACAAAGCGATAACTATATATAATTATAAAATTATACAATTAAAATTTAATATAAAATTATATTATAAATAAAAATACTCACAATACTTGACGTACAACACAAAATCGGTAACCAACTATAACCAAACGGGTAATGAGAATGGCAAGTCAAAAATGAAAAAAAAAAATGTTTGACTTATAGACTAAGTTAGGTCAAACAGGTTTTGAAAAAAATTCTTATAATAAAAAACTCTTTTTTTATGACTTTAATGTTTCTATAATAAATGTATATAAGTAATCTACATTCACTACCAAAACGACGTCGTTTTGCGTTAAAAAATTAAAAAATTATAATTAAAAAGACTATTATAACTCCGGAATAAATTATAATTAAAAAAATATCTTGATTTTTGCCTCAAAACGATATTATTTTGGGCTCAATGTAGATAAATTATCTACATTGACTGTAGAAAAACGAACCTTTTTTATAATGGAAAAAAAAAAACCAAAATCTTCTAGGAGGAGCTTTTTTTAAAGCTCTTATCTGCTTTTCTTGAATTGTGTGCTTTTTTAAAATGAAAAGCTATAGAGATAGAGATAAATAATTTTCATGAAATATGTGTTTTTAAACTAAAAAAATTATGTAATTACCAAACAACTTTTAACTTTTTTTTTTAAACTCTTTTTTTTAGCTTTAACTTATAAATAGCTTCTCGTTTAAAAAAAAAAAAAAAGATCCAAACAGGCTAAGTGCCTGTTTGGATTCTCTCTTTTGTTAAGTTAGAAGCTACTTATAAGCATAAGTTAGACCAAATAAATTTTGAGAAAAGCTCTCTTTTTTATAATCAAGAAAAAAGTTAAAAGTTAAAAGCTTCTAGGAGGAGCTTTTTTTTAAGCTCTTATCTGCTTTTCTTGAATTGTGTACTTTTTAAAAAAAAATGAAGAGCTATAGAGATAAAGAGAAATAATTTTCTTGAAATATGTACTTTTAAGTAATTTTTAAACTAAAATTTTTATGAAATTACCAAATAGCTTTTAGCTTTTTTTTAGCTTTAGCTTATAAGTAATTTCTAACTTAAAAAAAGAGAGGATCCAAACAAGCTCTAAGTGAGACGAATTTTGCCACGTTTTTTTACCGATATATTAATAGCAAGCTAGTTATCTAACAATACAACAAAAGAAATTACGGCATACAAGGCATCAATTTTGGGCTGGGTGTTCTGCTAGGCCCTATAGTGTTGGGCTTACGGTGATGAGGTACTAAATAGTTACTTTTATATAAAATTATTATTTAAAACTTTTATTTTGTCCCACTTCTTTCCTTTGCTGCCTTATCTAGTTTCTTTTTTATATAACGATTAGAAAATCATATGGTAATCATGCGGAAGAAAATTTGAAAGAAAAAAATTCATTAAAACTAAAATAGACAAAATATGGTGTTAATTGTAAGTATGGAAACATAATAAAGTTACTCTTAGAGACCAAAATGTCACCGGCTCGAATACAAGAAACTTGAAAGAGATCATCCGGGCACCATCTCAATCAGCACATAGACTATTGACGCTGATTTCAGTACTGGAATTTCTTATGTAAGCATTCTCTCGCCGCAACTACCACCATGTAGATGTAGGAACTATATCGCGATCAAACTAATAATTTCTTTGGTAGGGATCTAAAATTTTAATTTTAAAATCCACCTTAAATTAAATTAATTAGAAAACAACGAATCGATTAAAATATTTATAAAATAAAAGCTATAATATCAATAATATAGCTATGAATTATTTTTGTTATCTTCTAGCATTATAGCACAAGATTATGAGCTACGTACATAGTGCAACTGAAGCAGGTAGCTTTCATGTGGGACAGATATGCTCGGTACCTAGACCAGTCCACGTCATGTCCTTCTAGCTGCTTCCATAAATAATTCATTCTCGGTTAGGCACATGAATTCATAAATAATATATCATAGATGGCATATTCGAATATTATCATTATCAGAATAGAGTTTAGGAATTTCACTTGTTATTGGGAGAATAGGGGAAAAATGAAAAGAAAAATTATAAATAATAGAGGGATTAATTTTATCTCTCCATACATATGTAAGTGAATGGAGTCTTATAAAAGAAAAAATAATAAATAAATAAATTCACTTACTTCCATATGTGTATAAATGTATAAGAGATAAAATAAGTCATTAGAATTAGCCTAATGATAAAGGATTTGGGTAAGTTGTATCAGATTATGGGGAATTCTCACTAAAATATAAAAAAGTATAAGAGATCAAATTAATTTATATTTACAATAAAAAAACATGAAAATCTATAATAAAAATATAAATAGATAGAGAATTAATATATATATATATATAAACGGAAATTATGACTATTTTTTATTTTAGTGAAATATTTAATTTATAAAGTCTTGAAATAATATATTTATACTTAATTTTAAATTAAATAAATAAAATGACATGGAAGATTTGGAGTTTTTTTTTTAAATTTAGTTAAAATAAGAAGACAAGAAACTGAATTTTTTACAACAACAAAAAAAAGATAATTGAAAAATTGTTAATGGAAAAGTAAAATTAAGTCCCACTAATGGACGTACAGCACGTCAAAATATTAAATATGTTTTTACCGGACACTTTAAAACCTGTTGGGCTGAATTGATTATTGCTCCATATTGATAAAGGTAACAAAATGGATCTGATGTATAAGGGTCGGTTCATTTAACACAACTACTTTAACAGGTTGAATTATGTATTTTAAACCACCAATCCAATAAATTCATATTATTAATTTGAAGGTTGGGATAAATCAACTCCCAAGTTAATTTTTTTTAATATCTGATACATAGTATATTAGTATGTTTTATGTGTATGCAAAACTTCTTGTTACATGGAAAAAAATTGATAAACCATAAATATTCTTTGAGAGATAATCTTATTTAAGGTGAGTTCAGTATTAAAACTTTAAACATTTCCAAATATAATACTGGGAAGGATCGAATACATACTCTTATTTTCAACTGCTCAGCTCTCATGTATCAACTAAATTACCATCATCCTCCTGTTGTGACATGAAAATTTTTTATTTCCTCTATAAAGAATCATTTGAACACTTTAAATGAGTTTATATTAATAATTTTATATCTATATTACGCACATTAATACAAGAGCCATGGATGAAACATGAGGCAAATGAGCAGATCAAAAATGTTAGGTAGTGTTCCAATAATTTCCTACAAACTTTAGATGGCAGTCGGACTGTATAAAATTTGTGTAGTCTGCGTTAACCTCAGGCTTATCTGTCATCATACTTCAATTTGTTCTTTTTTGCGTTACCATTATATTTCAACTTTAAAACTTAAATCAACAAATATGATTGGTTACCTTCAACTTTCAGTGGGTTTTTCCAACACAAAACACTCTTGCAGTTTGTACCCAAGTCGAAATTCATAAATTTTGATTCTGAGAGAGAGAGAGAGAGAGAGACTGTAAGAAATTAGGCTGATGCATGATTTTCATCTCATTAAGGATAACAAAATCCATGCCTAAAGGATTATTCTAAGCATGAGCACGTAGAGTATGATGTCTTTCCTAATGGAAACATATACTCTAGTCTCACACTCTGTTAATTACTCACACGGTCACTTTAATTTATTGATTATTGTTACAGAGACAGAAAGCAGAAGATTTACGCAGTTTATTGGTGAGCATCGAGGATTGAGAGTAAAGGGTTGATCAACTCCAGTTCATTCCCACAGTCCACAAACTGATAGTTGACAATTAGGTGGCCCTGTTGGTATCCTCTGCCATCTGTGTCCAATTGGTTGAACACGCCTACATCCAAATCTAACCCTCCGTTGCTGCATTGATCTACAATTCTCACAGTTATCTGCGCTCCCGTTCCTGTGTTTGTCACCTGCATCACCATTCATCCATCACATTTCACACCACGTTCCTTTCACTAATTCAAAATCATCTATTAGACTATATATATTGTATGACATGACAGATATAGAGAGAAAATATATACATCTAACAATCTCTAAAGTCTAAATAATAATTAAGATTAAGATTGCAAATATATATAATACATGATATTAAATTTTGATATGTTAATTAATTAATTACCCTGAGGCACTTTCCACAAGAAGCTTGACCGTGAGGTCCAACGGGGCCACAGAAAGCTGTCCATCCATATTTGCTGCGCCATGAGTAAGGTTTGGAAGCGTCCCAGGTGGAGCAGTAAGCACTGACAGCGTTCAAGTCCCATCCATGTTGCTCCGGTTGATAGTAATGATATGTAGCCCGAACATTAGATGCACTTTCTCCGCCGCTGCCGCCCCGACAGTTGCTTTGGCAGTTGTTAGAGGGAGAGCAGTAATCATCGGTGTCGCCACAGTAACCGTATTGGCTGCAGCACAGATTGTTTGGGCATGTCTGCCCACCCGCTTGTCGACCGCATTGTTCACCGTTCGCCGTCACTATCAAACACGCCAATACTGCAACGCTTATGATCCCAACTTTTCCCATGTCTCCTTCCCAACCTTGACATTTTTGCCAATGTTTGGTTCAGCATTTATATAAATAAGGGTTTTATTAGTGTTATCTTACATGATTTAAATGTTGTTTCCAACACACACGAATGGAGAGAGAAAATGGAATGATAAAAGAAAAAGAAAAATATGTGGACCCCACCTCTTTAGTGTGTGTAGGAAAGTGATGTTATATCATGATACATGATAAACATATATAAAACCCTATAAATAAATATATACCAAACCATCACTTTCCATTGGCGCTTTCTTCTTTATGACACAATACATACCCACATACGGCGGCTATACAATGAGAATAAAGATATCAGATTTTGCATGTAGGCTCGACCTGACCGATGGATGTGTATAAATTGGGGCGGCTAAACTCTAAAGGTTGCACAGTTGGTCAACAATCGGGTAGGGACTAGTCGGCATCATTATCTGTAAGATATTATTAGAAAATCATGACTCACTATCACTGATTTCTTTCTTTTTATTTGAATTGAACACGCAACCTACCCAAACCTCTCACACACACACCAATCCTAATACTCTTCAGTGACTTTTTCAGATATGGTAAATTATATGTTATCTATTCACATTTATAAACACCCATTATTTAATATTTGAAAAAAGTATTTATAATTTTAAATGACATAAAGTTATGTCGTTTTAAGAGAGATAGACACAGAATAAATTTTTTATTTAAATTTTAAATTAAAAAAAAACTCACCTACTTTCTCTCTTCTATGATTTTTATTTTTTGTGTTTATTTCTCTCTTAAAATAACATAACTTATATCATTTAAAATGACAAATACCAAATCCTTAATATTTATATCCAATTTATTATTTGATTTTAACTCATTTCGTATGGTGGATGGGGCACCGTGCATTCTTTTAGGTAGCGTTGGACATGAAATAACATTATTACAAATTTTGAGAAAAAATTATTTCATATATATCTAATACGTACTAGACATGGGAAAGTGACTCACTTTTAGATAATATCTTACTTTCTAACTTTGTTTGTTAGCAATTGATTAAAATTAATGAGTAACTCAAATTCTTGTAGTCATGAGTAACTCAAATTAACAACTATTTACATTCAATTATGTGTGTAAGGGGAAAAACCCAAGTGGACTCAAAGAATCGAAAAAGTACAAGCTATTGTCAAATTGAAAATTAGTGAGCCCATCAAGTAGATACGAACTCCGAACATCATAGAACCGAACCCAATAAGAGAAAGAAAAAAAAAACACATCAGTAATTTCGGGGGATACTAGATTATTATAATTGGGCAATTATTTTCTCCTTTTAAAAGAGAAAAAAAAAATTATTAGAAACTCATAGCATAACTGGGTTCTATTTTATTTTATTTTTCTTTCTATTATTTTGTAAACTCTACTTTTATGTCATGAGTCACTAATACCAGAAAATATTTTCCCTTATTATAATGGGTTTTATGTTTATCATGTGACATAATCTAACTCCATTTTCCTACACACACATCAAAGAGGTGGGGTCCATATTTTTTCCCTTCTCTTTCATCATTTCATTTTCTCTCTTTTTTATTGTGTGAGTAGGAAAATCAAGTTGAGTTATGTAACATAATAATCATAAAACCCTATTATAATTACACATATCATTTTAAAAGGAACTGTTAAAACAGTTCATAAGTGTGTCAAATCACCTAAACTCTGATGAGACTCCTACTAATGAAGTTAGGCTCCATCTAAATCCAGTGGATTATATTGTAACGTTTCTTCATGGTTAAATGGAGAGAAAAAATTATCAACTTGTTCAGAGAGCTTTTAAAAATGATTATTTCTAGAAAAAGTGAACTCTCAAAAATTTTACAAGATCATAATATTTCACATCTCGTTCACCCCAAATTTTTTTATATATATATTTTTGGAAAAGTTATATGTATCCTTTACAGGAGGCAATTCTATTCGAAGAGGATCTAGAGTTAAAACTTTCAAATCCCTCTCAAAAATAATATTAGAAAAGATCAATCAAAACTTCTACAAACTTCTATCTTTCTTTCTTTTTTAATAAATTTCTATCCTTTTGTCTTGGTACAATTAATACTACTATTTATACATGTCATCTCATGCAACAATCCACACTCTTCATCACCCTAAATTATTATCTTGGTAATAGTATTATGATTTTATATATATTGACATTTTCATGCTTCAATTAAATCCCACAATGGAAATTTGCTTTTTGAATTATAAATTTATTTTGGTAATAAATTGCTTTCATGATAACAACACTACTAGAAAAGTCTTTATTATCGACGGAATTTTTCGACGGAAAAAAATTCCGTTGAAATTATTGACGAAATTTTCCACGGAATCTGTTTTCCGTCTAAAATTTCGACGGAATTCCTTTTTCGTCAAAAATTTTCGACGGAAAAGTAATTCCGTCGAAAAAGTTTGAAAAGATATAATAAAAACAAATTATATTTTATGGACTTCTCGACGGAATTGAAATTCCGTCGAAAATTTTTGAAAAAAATAAAAGAAAAAGAAATTATATTTTGTGGAATTTTCGACGGAATTTCGATTCCGTCGAAGAATTTCAACGGAAAAGGAATTCCGTCGAAAATATTTGAAAAAAGAAAAAAGAAAAAAGAAAAAGAAATTATATTTTGTGGAATTTTCGACGGAATTTCAATTCCGTCGAAGAATTTCGACGGAAAAGGAATTCCGTCGAAAACTTTTGAAAAAAATAAAAGAAAAAGAAATTATATTTTGTGGATTTTTCGACGAAATTTCGATTCCGTCGAAGAATTTCGACGGAAAAGGAATTCCGTCGAAAACTTTTGAAAAAAATAAAAGAAAAAGAAATTATACTTTGTGGATTTTTCGACGGAATTTCGATTCCGTCGAAGATTTTCGACGGAAAAGAAATTCCGTCGAAAATTTTTGAAAAAAGAAAAAAGAAAAAGAAATTATATTTTGTGGAATTTTCGACGGAATTTCGATTCCGTCGAAGATTTTCGACAGAAAAGGAATTCCGTCGAAAATTTTTGAAAAAAGAAAAAAGAAAAAGAAATTATATTTTGTGGAATTTTCGACGGAATTTTGATTCCGTCGAATATTTTCGACGGAATTTCGATTCCGTCGAAGATTTTCGACGGAAAAGGAATTCCATCTAAAACTTTTGAAAATAATAAAAGAAAAAGAAATTATATTTTGTGGAATTTTCGACGTAATTTCGATTCCGTCGAAGAATTTCGACGGAAAAGGAAATTCCGTCGAAAACTTTTGAAAAAAAAAAAAAAAAAAGAAAAAGAAATTATATTTTGTGTATTTTTCGACGGAATTTCGATTCCGTCAAAGATTTTTGACGGAAAACGAATTTCGTCGAAAATTTTTGAAAAAAGAAAAAAGAAAAAGAAATTATATTTTGTGGAATTTTCGACGGAATTTCGATTCCGTCGAAGATTTTCGACGGAAAAGAATGTTAATCTCCTATGTGTGGTATGTTTTCAGGATGTTAGTCTATGAGTATGTCAATAATGGAAACTTGGAGCAATGGCTTCATGGAGCTGATAGTCATCCATGGATATCTTACCTGGGAAGCACGTATCAAGATTCTCCTTGGCACAGCCAAAGCGTGAGTATCTGCATCTGTGCTTCTTTTGGTTTTCTTAGTCCTCATATAAAACAATATACTTGTTTCAAGCTTGCGAATTTACACGAAGCAATCGAGACAAAGGTGGTGGTGCACCTTTGAGTCAGTATTTTGTCCTCTGCCCTATAGAGAGATGAACTTTTCCCATGCTCAATATTGTTAAACTTTCATAAAAAAAATATGTTTCTTATATTCTTTTTTGCTCTATATATTTCTCAGATATGTGGCTCTGAATATGCAAATACTGGCCTTATATATAGATAGATAGGTACGTGACTTTTTTGCTCTAAATATAGATTGCTTTTTATCAATGATTTAAGAATATAGAGTTAAATAATAGTTTAAATGTTATATCTTTTATTATTTTTTCTCTGTTATTTTTTGTACTAATAGTCTAATGGAGTAAAAGGACAGCCAGATAGAGTATTTCAGTACCCCCATTAACTATTTTAATTTGATAGTTAATTAATTTTGTTCACGTTATATCAGGTACCCACCCACTTACATTGGAACAGACATGAATTACAATTACAATCAGGTAGGCATAATAATCCGGTAGAGTTACAGTTGCACAATTTAATACCAAAATTAATTAAATGTATATATGAGGGAAAAAATACTTTTTGACGTAAGAAATATGATTTACAATTATAAGGCTACGTAACTTATAAAAGTTACGTTAGTTATATATATATAACATACGTAACTTATAAAACTAAAGTAACTTTTATATATATATATATATATATATATTAAAAAATTTGCAAAAAAATAAAAAATCCTAATATATATATATATATATATATATATATATTACAAATGAATTATTGTTGGTCTCTTTTCCTTCTTTTTTCCCCTCTCTGTTTCTTATGTTCATTTTTGGTTGTATTTGTAACCACAAGCTTATATCTACAATTTTTATCTGTAGACCATTAATATTACCTTTGCAGCAGTAAATTGTTAACTTGAAGAAGCCATTGGAAAATATGAGTAAGTATTTTTGGTTGGTTGTATAACTTCAGATTATATATTATGTTAGATTTGTTGTGCTTTTCCAATTATTTGTGTTTTAAATATTTTACATGCCTACAGGTACAGTTGCACAACAAGAGGAAAGGGTTGCACAACAATAGAAGAGGGCTCCACAGCAACAGAAAAGGGTTGTAAAACATGATTTTTGTATCTTGTTTGGATGTATATGGCATGGACATAGACTTTTTTCATTAGTATATAAGAGAGACTTTTGTACACATAATTATATTAAGATCAATATGAATTTGATATATTATTTACTGTCTTTATATTTGTTAATCAAGTGCAAAAGATAAATAGGTATTAATTTTGTAGAGCAAAATTAA